TGATCATGATGTAAGGAAAGTTGGATCCAAATTCCAAAAAGAATTTTTTGTATTAAAAGAAAGTTATACGGTATACGTTTCATTTATAAACGGTTTTATGACAATTACGTCAATGCAGTGAACTTTATTTTAATCAACATTAAACGCGCTAACGAATCCCATTCCATGCGAATGTTTAACAACGGCAATTTTTCATCGTCTTTCAGAGCACAAAAACAGTTTTAAAACTTTAATTTGTTTGTTCATTATTTCAATTGAAATGGTTTAAAATATTTTACTTGCATAAATTGAGACCACGAAGAATGCATTAAATTTTACATCGGATTAAAATAAATGCAGAAGAAAAAGAAGAAGAGACTGCAAGAGAATGAACAAACATTGACACGATGGAGGTCGTTGGCGTCCATGACAGTCCCTTGGAAGTACTCCACCTGGGTCAGGTGGCGTTTGAACAAGCCCTCCAGCTCCAAATCTGGCTCTTTTCTGTTTTTCAAAACAAATAAAGAGGTTGAACAAGTTGAAAAATCATTTGAATAATTTTATGACATAATAAATAACTGAATTTTTAATTATAAACGGCAATAGAAACATAATGAATCGATTTCACGTTTTTGGGAGAAGAAATTTTTTTAAAATTATTCCATCTCAAAGGTATGAACTACAGAGTAACCTGTTCATTATAACAAGAACGACGCCCATGTCCTCCCTATCTTTGTGCAGAAAGTCCGACATGAAGTTCGTGACCGACTCATACGTTATGTGGCCACACAGTACAATGTGTCTACGGGATGTAGTTAAAATTAGAACACTTATTGTTAAGAATAAATGGCAATAAGTGAGTTGGCTCTTATGGTAAATATTGAGAAATTTAATGAATGAATGTCTAAATGGTGTGCGATTTAAGTTGTTCTGTGGATTTCTAAGGTGCATATTCTAACGGTTGGTTGTTAGAAGCTGCTTTGGCTAATAAGCTCTCAACGGAGTTCGTTGTGGTAAAGTGTACAAAAAGCACTAGAATAGATTTGTTAAAATGATGAAAATAAAGAAAAAACTTGAACTGAAAAGATTTTAAACGAGATTTATACGAGATTTACAGTGAAATGAAAAAAATGAATCCATAAGCTAGCATGTTTTATGATAAAGAAACAGTGATGAAGCAACAAATTTTATAGCGACTTGATATGTAAATAATATTGATTAGTAGATGTAGAAAATGATATAATGATATATAGATCTATATTTAAATTGAGAAATAACCATACAAAAATATACATACAAAAAACTACAGATTGGAAGTGAAGTCCTAGATTTAAACGAATGGTTAATAGATCAAAAGAAACGCGGTTCCAGACCGATAAATGTATGCGGAGTGCAATTTCTTGTTACAATCACAAGTCAGTACAATGGGCATCTCATCATTATTGCTATTAATATTAATGTTGTAGCTTTTATTATTATTGCCATTATTTTTATTACACTTATTATTGTTATTACCATTATTATTATTACTATGGGATTCTGATATTAACAGCAGCTGGGTAAAAGAGAGTAAGAGAATGTCAACAAACACGTCTGAAATGGCGGTAAAGATAGATAGAATGGTACAAGAGGTTGAAGGTTATTGACATGGTTTATACTCCTTCGTCAAGAGTGATGAATAGTTCTTTAAAATTCAAATATGTCTGAAACTGTTGCCAGAACATTGGAAGGGATGTAAAAGGAAATGTTAATGTTATTAACGTGGATAAATTTTGTTTTATAAATTTTTTGATTTGATGAAATAAATATTTAAATTTGTACATATCTTCAAAGAAAACGATTAGAGAGTTGTGATGGAATGGTTTTAGAATTTGAAAAATTTTGACAATTTTATTACAAATTAGGCCGTAGAAAATAGGCGATAAAGAATCATTAAAGAAACAAATTGTTATTCCAAACCAGAAAATATTTAGCTCATCATAAATGAATGAGGAAAAATCTCCAGAAGCGAAAGTAAAATAAATAAAACCACGGCGCAGAAAAAAGATACAGAAATGGGTTACATCTTACGCGGGTAACTTATATCACAAACTAACAATATTGTTAAACATTTATATCATTGCTATGTAAACTACATCGAAAAGCATTGCATTCTTTCTACATACCAAAGTAATTTTTTTTCACACGCGCGCACACGCACGCATACACACACATAAATATATAATTACAGAATGAGACAAACCAACAAGTAAACAAACAAACGAACAAGCAAACAAATGAAAAACAAACGAACGAACGAACAAACTCGGTTTAAAAACAAACAAATGAATGCGAATGAAAATCAATGCCTCCAACTGAAACATTATAGTGGCGAGGATTCTTATGTAAGTTGTTTCTGCCGTTGGTGGCGTCGGGTATGATGATAACAGTGATGAGTGACAATGAGGTGATCAAAACTCATGATGACGATTCGGATGACGATGATTACGATAATGATTATGATTGTGATAATGATGATATGACGAAAACTGTAGATAGTGACGCAGATAATAATAAAGATGACGATGACGATGACGAATTTAGGTGATAAACCGATATCCAGTAGACGACCCGCTGGATCAGACTAACGATCGTCGATCATGTTTCAAATTATTTTTCCATTTATACTTCAAATTATCTTTCTTATCGTGGCTGGTCTTAATTTCAATATCAAAAGTAAATAAATAGTAGAGAGAGAGAGAGAGAGAGAGAAAGAGAGTATTTTCAATTTTTTTAATTCTAGATCTGGATTATCTTGAAATTGTTTGTTTTTGAACTCTTTAATAAAATCATACATCTCTATTATTATTACATATATATTTGAAATAATCTTCAAATGGTCACATACCTCTCAATGATATCTTAATGACCTCTCAATGACCTCAAACTGACCTATATAAAGAAAAAAAAAGTTCACTGACTTTTTTCCACCTTCAGTTTTGTAGGCCCCTCCATATTTGCTTCTCGTTCCCAGAATGTCCATTATCTCTGGAATGAAGCTAGCAAACATGGCCTAATGGTGATGGTGAATGATGGTGATTTAGATATGATGATGATGACGATGATGGTATGGTGATGATGATGATGATGACGATGATAAAGAAGAAATAATGATGGAGGGAAGGAAGATGGCGAGATGATGAAAGGATATTATGAAGTGATGATGTTCACAACAGCTGATCGCAAAAAAGCAGGAAATCAAAGAAGACTATGATGTAGATATTTATAACTAGCTAAAGTAACAGGAGTAAAAATAATATTGCCAATGTTGCAACTGAAAGAACATGAAGATACATTTCGTGTTATCGTTTGAAAATAAGTTTTCAGTGTAGTTTTGACTTTAATATTTGACCTGAAAACAAATCACTTGTCAACAATTTGCTTGCAACATTGGGTAAATTTGATAAAAAAATTAAATTTATTAGGTCTTTAAATCAAACTTTTTCATCCATGTAAAAATTAAATCGGCCTAATAGGGTAAAATTATTTCCAACCATGTTTGAAGATAATTTTTCATTTGAAGTTCAGAAACAAAATTAAATGCATACTATTGAGCATTATTTTTTTAACAATGTTGATATTTAGGACATGTTTCAACAAACGCTCGCGACTGAAATTAAATAATTTTAAGATTTAACAAACATCTCTCTGCATTTATTGCACTGTAACCTATTTCATTTTAATTATTACTAAACTAAACAATGTTTAAAAACATCATGAATATTGTCATATCTGTTGGTATTAATGCTATGACAAATGAATCGTTGTTACGATCAATTAAATGTATTATTATCTATGTAAAGTGAACACTTTTTACAAAGTTGAAACATAATAAAATAAATAATAGATGATAGTATGCGTTCGGTAGGAATAAGATTTTCTCAGTGTACAATCAATCATATGAAGAATCCATAGATACAAAATGGATAATCTTCAATTTGTAACTTCCAAAAATAGTAAACTATGTTAATTACTAATTGAAATACTTTATCCTGTAACTAAAACTACTAATTTTAAACAGTAATCTGAGTAGATTTTGGTAACAATTTACATTTCTAAGCAATCAGATTACAATAACTACTAACGAAGCAATTTTATGCAAGTAAAAAGTTTATACTAACTAATTACCCAGATTTGAAGGTAGTCAAATTAGTATTTCTAATAACTTTTTCAAATTTTAAAACTACCATTTACTTAGTTTTTTCAAGAAGTAGTCAGATTGCAAAACAGATTAGCATATCTCGTTACTTTATCGCGTTATTGTCGCATCAATCACTCATCGCCGTGCATTTGCTGAGTGCCACATGCGAACGAGTTTCAAACAAACATACAAATAAAACGAACGACAAATCTAGATACAAAACAAAGAAAAACAAAACATACACGAGGTGAAAAAATCTTTAATGACGTGTGCATCCACTATTTAAGATTAAGTATTTTCTATTTCAAATAATTTCACGTGTAACTTTCAATTTTGGTTGGAATTTTGATTTTGAAAAAAAAATCATTTTAAGTGGCGTGATTTTCAATTGAAAGAAAAAAGATTTACCCCATATCAATCGATTGAATACATTTTACAACAGGATGATTCGACCGTGCCAATACCAAGTTAGTTCATTATTTCCAATTTTATAAGTTCATCATTCAGCCTTTTTATTAATGTATCAAACTTGCTAAGAATAGTTGTCTTTAATCACTTGATATTATGTGGCGTAATTGGAATTTTTCAGAGTTGTAAAAATGTTTGTTTTTTGAATTTCAATTACGATTTGCAAAAGTATTTAACACTGGAGAATAAAATATTGAATACAATTTCAGATATTTAAAGTTTGTGGTAAGAAACAGCTGAAATGTGACCAAAAGAAATTTTGTTTGTTAACCATGTTTTTGATCGAATCATTGGCTTCAGCAGTTGATAAGAAGTATGGAATGATAGGAGAGTTGCCAACTGTTTCACTTCACTTATGATGTTCATTTCAAGATTGTTCTGAACGATACTCATTGTCGTGCTTACGAGGTTTGTCGAATCATCGTCTACATATTTTAAAAATAATTTTTTACACAAATTTTTTAAATGAGATATAGTTTTAAACTTTATTCGTTTAAATAATCTTTCATCAATACGTAGGATATAGCAGTTATGGATTCGTTGGGTTAGTATGCAGGTTATTTTTAACAATATAAATTTAAAACTATAATTTTCTATTTTTTCGCACGCAGATAAAAATCCAGACTTTTTGTGTATCTTTGTTATAATTTTTTCATCAAATTATAAAACTTATATATTAATAAATGAAATTTTAGACATTTTTCATTAAGATGATTTTATCGAATTTAGCCAATAGTTTAAATTTGACCCTGAGCAAATCCTGCAACTTCCCATTCACCTTCAACGGTGGATTGTTCTACTCTTGTTCCAACTCACTACCTGGCATCAACAATCCTTGTGCTCTCTACATGTGTTTCACTGCTGACAGGCAGTTGTCCATCTGTCTTGATCCTTAAGGTTATTGTTACAATACTTTTATTACAAAATAAGGAATTAAATCATGGTGAATATATTCAGTAAAAAGATGAACTAAGTATATCAAAAATTATCCGAATTATTATCTCTAATGCGCAATGATTGTAGTTCTATCATACACCCGCCTACAGCGCTGCCAATGAAACAATCCTGTTGGACATTCCAACGTTTGCCAACTCAACTCCTGTCACGTCTGTCAATGGATGGATTGTCATTCAGCAGAGGATTGATGGCTCGCAGAGTTTCAACCTAAGTTGGAATGAGTACAAGGTATTTGGTATACTAAAGTTTTTCCCTAAATATTTGTTAAATTTAATTGTTTTAATAATTAAAAAGTCAGGATTTGGAACTTACTACAAAAACTTCTGGTTGGGCTTGGAGAAGATGCACCAATTAACGACATCGGCTGATTACAGGTTGAAATTTGAAGTGTTCATCTGTGGTTCTTGGTACTCCGATGAATATGATCATTTCAAGGTATGTTGATTGATTGCAAACAAATAATTTTCACACATAATTTTTTCTTTCATTCCTATGGTTATTTTTTTCAAATTTAGAATTCTCAGTACTTAAACCATTTCCAGCTAAAAAGTAGTTTTTGTTTATTTTTTTATTATGAAAACATCTCTAGATTAGTTCAAAGCTTGTAAAATATTCCCTTAATGTTTCTGGATACAGTGGGGATAAGTTCGATGTTTTGAACTACCACAACGGAATGAAGTTCTCAACCCTAGATCAGGATAACGATATACATAACAGCGGTAGTTGTTCTTCGAATTGGTGTTCAGGAAATTGGTTTCATAAATGTTACGACCAAAACATAAACGGACTATTTCGTAAATCTGGATTCAATTATAATAAAGAACCTCTCACTTACTGTAGTATGATGATCAAACGAAACGTGTAAGGAGCATGTTTATAGCACTAAATTAGTTTCGGAAGCTTTTACATCTGTCCTTAAACTGTTACCTATCTTATAATCTTTCATTCATTATCTTAATAGAAGCAAATTTTTATAGCGACTACCCTCTAGACGTGATATCTAGTTGTCTATCATGTGTTTTAAAACTTTTTGTTATCGAAGAAATTAGGGTTGAAATAATTAACACGCAATTTAAACAATTATACATGTAAAATTTTTTCAATTTAGATAATTATGATAATTTTTATAAAGATATTCAAATTTTTGACTTTTTACTACTATTATTTCTTTTAAAATGTTTAAATTTATACTATTATCTGCATTAAAAACATTAAACTATCAAATATATTTTTAATATAATTTATAAATTAGGTTAAATTTGATTCAAGTTTATTGGAATAGTTTATCTTTAAATCAAATAATTATCTTTTATTCATTTCATGTAGGGTAGGAACATCTCTTGTTATCTATATACTTACTTTTTTCAACGTGATTTCGTGCAATTTGTAACATTTTATTTCATTTAAACTTAATATAAAATCGAATAAAAATGATTAATTTTTATGTTTATACGCTTCAGTTATTTATTTGAGTCAGTGATTGAGTAATTAATGTGACTGAGTAGTAATTAATGTGATGATTCAGTAATTAATGAGATTCAATAATTAATGTAATGCAGTAATTAATGTCATTCGTACTGGCTGTGATCACATTCAAGTCTTTTTCATGTTGTTAAAATCGCTTCTTAGGGACAAACTATCAATGCTAAAATAATAAATTAATTTAAAAAATTTTAATTGTAATTACATAAATGTCATTGATCAACAATAGATTTTCTAAGATAGCAAAGAAACAAAATAATCACAAACAATGTGTCAGTGATTTTATGTACCGTATAAATCAACATATCAAATGGGAAACATAACTAACTGGTAGACATTGTGACAGTGAACACAAGACAATTTGAGCGATTGAGTTTAAAAATCAGCAACATCTGAATCGCCTATCCGGAGCCATTACAGTAAAATAACAAATAAAAACATTGCGATGTACTAACATTTGAATAGCGTTATTTCGTAGGCGAACCCGCCAAAGTGCCAACTAATGTTGCAGAAATGTTTCGTGTGAAATTATAGTGCGACATACAAATTGTTCTTTAACTCTATTTTTGAACTATAACTTCTTTAGGAATCGGAATATCAGCAAATTTAGTTGAAGCGAAAATTTCTTCTGAGAAATTTTTTTTTTTTTGAAAATTTGTATGCCCCGTAGCACTCGGAAAAGCCTTCAGCAATTAGGAATATGATTTGAAAATAACATTTGCACTGACAATTTGTCACAGGAGTTAAATTTTTTCAAATTTGAAAAAAATGTTTACTGCATTCGCGATAAGGATAAAGATGTCGCGATGGTGAAAAATTCATTGTGATTCTAATGCATTGGTTAACAAAAGTGATATAAATCTTAATGCAGGCTTGGTGCACACTGTTAAATTTAACTATTTGAGTTGGTTGAGAATAAAAAAAATTTAAAATTGTACATATAATTTTATGACAATTTTGTTATCGTAAAAATATGTTAATAATTGTATGAGTTAAAATATAATACTTGTGATAAAGTTGAAATTGTAATTAACAAAGTATGACCGTCACGATTTTTATCAAAAGAAGTAAGAGATAAACTATCAATGCTAAAATAATAAATTAATTTAAAAAATTTTAATTGTGATTACAAAAATGTCATTGATCAACAATAAATTTTCTAAGATAGCAAAAAAGCAAAATAATCACAAACAATGTGTCAATGATTTTGTGAACCTTTTAAATCAACATATCAAATTTAATGATATGTATGGAATAATAGGAGACTCAAATATCCCTATTCATAATGTTTGCAAACCTACCAAAGTACTAACCAACACAACAAACTACTGCAATTTGTTAAAGACATTGAAAATTATTGCAAAAGTTAACGTTATTTTAAACTTTGCTCTTCTAATTGCTACTTTAACGCTTTAATGGCTTTAATAGGTGCAAAACTTACACCGCTTGCTTGGAGCACCGATTTATTTTTAAAATTTTCAAAATTTTCAAATTTTTAAAACTTCATATATGGAAGTACTAACAAATGGTTTGCCATTTTAGAGACGATCTAATGCGCTTTACTTATTGTTCGAGAGATGTTTCTTAAAGCCATTTCTTAGTATAAGAAGCAAAGGGAGTTACAAAGTTTTGTAAAATTTTGCCAGGTACTAAGCACGAATCTTACAAATATTAACAATATATAACATTTTTAAAGATATTTCGGAAAACTCGCAGTAACTAATTTTAAATAATAAGTTGAAATATTTTGTTAAAATATGAAGTGGTCCATAATTTTTTTTATGGTGATCACATCATCATCAGTCAACTCGGTAGCATCAGCAGTTGATAAGAAGTATGGAATGATAGGAAAGCCAGACAACCTCATGTGTTTTGTTTCCAAACCTACCACAGTACTAACCAACATACGATCAGTGCTGCAGTGTTCTATTGAATGTGTTAACAACATCAGTTGCAACGCATTCAACTACTGGTCCAACGATGCTAGCGATTCGGCAAAACATTGCCAACTGTTTCATTTCACATCCGAGGACCAGTTCAAGATTGTTCTGAATAGAACTCATTGCAAAGCATATCGGGTTAGTTGAATGAGTTTTTATTAAATACTTTTTTAAGTTGCATTTTCAAAGTTTATCACATATCAATCGATTGAATACATTTTACAACAGGATGATTCGACCGTGCCAATACCAAGTTAGTTCATTATTTCCAAGTTTATAAGTTCGTCCTTCAGCCTTTTTATTAATGTATCAAACTTGCTAAGAATAGTTGTCTTAAAAAATGTTTTTAAAAAAAAACTTACCAAATCTTGTTGTTATGGTTACGGATGCCAACACAATTAACTTCAGCATCATTTCAAATCCTTCATCTCATTTTTTAAATTTTGAGGTTGCGCAAATTTTGAGCCTTGCAACTTCTGGTTTTGATGGCCTTTTGTCTAATGATACTTTAATAATTCTAACTGTTGTATTTAATTAATTGCTGTTTTACAAAACTCAAAAAGCAGTTATAATTATTGAGATTAATATTGTCTCCTTAAACAATTTTTCACTTCATAAATTTTTAAGATAATGGGTTCTATAGTAAGTAATGAGATTGTCATTACCTCTATTTCATTATTTTATTCTCTATGCCTGTTCGTACCTTCGTACACCGTTACTCATTCTCCTCATTCTTTAATATTGTCTTGCGTGTTGTAACTGATTCCGCGTCTGCCAGATTCTCATTTTTTATTTGAATAATTAAAAAATCAATTGAAATGAATTTTTTGAAAGCTCTTAATTACCCGCTGACCCTGAGCAAATCCTGCAACTTCCCATTCACCTACAACGGTGGATTGTTCTACTCTTGTTCCAACTCACTGCCTGGCATCAACAATACATGTGGTTTGTACATGTGTCTCACTGCTAACAGGACGTTGTCCATCTGTCTCGATCCTCAAGGTTTTATGGGTACAATACTTTTATTAAAAAATAAGGAATGAAATCATGGTAAATATATTCAGTAAAATGATAAATAAGTATAGCAAACATTTATTCTAATCCGAATAATTATCTCTTATGCGTAATGCGTAATGATAGTAGTTCTATCATGCACCAGCCTACAGCGCTGCCAATGAAACGATCTTGTTGGACTTTCCAACGTTTGCCAACTCAACTCCTGTCACGTCTGTCAATGGATGGATTGTCATTCAGCAGAGAATTGATGGCTCGCAGAGTTTCAACCAAAATTGGAACACGTACAAAGTATTTTGTGTAATAATTTTTGTAATACATGCTGAATTTTACTGTTTAAAAAATTAAGTCGGGATTTGGCATTTACTACATAAACTTCTGGTTGGGTTTGGAGAAGATGCACCAATTAACGGCATTAGCTGATTACAGGTTAAGATTTGAAGTTCTCATCTGTGGTTCTTGGTACTCCGATGAATATGATCATTTCGAGGTCTGTCAAATTTTAACCTTTAATTTCTGAAATTGATATATTTTGTCAAAATTTAAATGGCAATTTTAATTACAATGGTACCAGTAAAAATTCTAATATGACTATGAAACGTAAATATTAGAACACAATTTAAACGATAAAAATGTTGCAGGTAGGCCCAGAATTTCAGAAATACTTTCTCAACGTTTCTAGATACAGAGGAGATAAATGCGATGTTCTGAACCATCCGGATCCAAGGTTTGTTCAAAATGGAATGAAATTTTCTACCCCAGATCAAGACAACGATCCTTACGCATTATACCACTGCGCTTTTCAGTTTTCATCTGGAAGTTGGTACAACAAATGTTACTACCAGCGTCTGAATGGAGTTTATGGTTCGTCGTTTGATTACGCTTATACTCCCGCTACTCACTGCAGGATGATGGTGAAGCGGAACTTGTAGTAGTGACGAGAGATTGATTGATGATGGCTTGCAAACATTTTTTTGTCCATATTCATGAAATATACGATTCAATTTTTTAATTGTTGCAAACAATAAGTTGTCCTGAACAAATTGGTGAGCATTAGTAATGAAAAAACAATTGAAATTAAAATTATTCAACTCATCTTAAGGCCATCAGAGTTATAAAAACACCCCAGTTTAAAAAGTCCATATTAAATAAAATTTGCCCACTTTCATTAATTTTAATTAGTGCTAATAATTAAAAAAAAACATTTAGTTCAAACATTAGAATTATAAATCTATGATAGAAAGAGACATTTTTTAATATCTTAATTCTAATGTTTTGTTCTGCTCATCGATAATGTGGGTTCTGCTCGAGAGATGCATAAGCTAACATTTTTACTCTAATTAATTTTCATTATGCCGGTTTTCCCAACTTTACTTACTGCGGGATGATGATGAAGTGTAACGTGTAAGGAGCATGTTTGTAATGTTCATTCATGTTTGTAATGTTCAATCATATCATATATTCAACTTTCTTAGAGGATTTCTATTTATTTCATGCGTGATTTGTTTACACCTGTCATAGAAATGTTGTTTACCTGTCTGATAATTTTTTATTCATTTTTTCGTAGAAGAAATCTTTTCATTTTAATGTTTATGCCTTTTTGATATCATTTTTGATATAATTTTACTTTCTTTATTCATTGAAAAATTAAGTTTGGTAAATGAACATTTAAAATTATAAATGTAACCACTGATCTGTTTAGAACTATTGAACTGTAAAGTATTGAATGAATGAACATTCATCAAGTTTTTCATGCTCGAAAAATAAAAAGTTTATTTCGTTATTAATGTTAACATTAGCACTAGCCTTTTATATAACATTTATATGAATGATGATTCATAAATAAGCTATTACGAGATCATTTTTGGCTCATCAGAAAACATTGACAACACTTCTAAACTTGTGATTTTTATATGAAAATTCGTTAGATTGAAACATTTTAAAATCATTATATTACTCATTAATCTTTAGTTTCAGATACCTCTAATTACATTTTAATATATGATCATTTCTAAATATTTATTTAGACTCCCACAGTCGTTTAGTCATTATTACATTCAACGTGATCTGTGCATTCAGTAGTTTTAAAAACTTCTACAATCATTTTTATTGCTGTGTAACAAATTTTGTTCTTCCAATAATAAAATAATAAAATTATTAAGTGGAAGAAAAAGTTTTTTTTCTAATTACGATGCAATAGATAGATAGCAAGTCTATCCTGGAAATATGAATAACTGAAAACATATATCACACAGTTGATAAGAAGTATCGAATGATAGGAGAGCCAGACAACCCAATATGTTTTGCTTCCGAACCTACCACAGTACTAACCAACATACGATCCTTACTGGAATGTTCAACCATATGTTCTCATTATGCTTTTACCACTGATGATAATATCATTTGGACCGGGTTTATCTAATAATGCTAGTGATCCAGCTTAATATTGCCAACTCTTTCATTTTACTGGCAAAATTAACTGTAATAATAGCCTGAATAAAACTGATTTCATAACTTACTGGGTGGTGTTTTGTTTCAAATTTGTTGTTTCAACTTCTGAAATGAATTATTTAATATTAGCTTTGACTTGATTGAACTTTCAATACATTATAATACAACTAAGCAGGCTAAATGTTAGTGAATATTTTCGTAATCTTAAATATCTAAAATATTTTTGTCATTATTTTTGATTTTTGATAAAAAAAATGTTGAAAATGAGTTTTGAATGAGTTCAGTAAAAAAGATGAAATTTTGACAGGAAATAAACAGACTCGGCACGACAATTACACCTTAAAAATTTAACAAGGCAATTTTTCCGTCATTTGAGTTTTGACAAAAAGATTGGAATGTGTAGAACATACAGTAATTGCGTTTTTGCCTGATATTTTCTGACAACATGACATAGTAACTATAAAATCGAATAATAATTACTAATAATTAATAATAATTGGTCACGTTAGTTTTTTTCGAAGTTTCAGAAGCATGCGAGCATGTTTGGACAAGAAGCAGACTAATAAATGTTGAGAATTCGACGAATATAGCTTAAGCATTTAACACTGGAAAATAAAATATTGAATACAATTTCAGATATTTAAAGTTTGTGGTAAGAAACAGCTGAAATGTGGCCAAAAGAAATTTTGTTGTTAATCTTGTTAACGATCGAATCATTGGCATCAGCAGTTGATAAGAAGTATGAAATGATAGGAGAGCCAGACAATCCCATGTGTTTTGCTTCTGAACCTACCACAGTGCTAACCAACATACGATCCTTACTGGAATGTTCTACCAAATGTTCTCATTATGTTTCTCCCACTGATGGTAACATCACTTGCAACGCATTCAACTACGTATCCAACAATGCTAGTCAACCAGCTAAGTATTGCCAACTGTTTCATTTCACTTTCGAGGTTCATTTCAAGAATGTTCTGAACGATACTCATTGTCGTGCTTACGAGGTTTGTCGAATTATCGTCTACATATTTTAAAATAATTTTTTACACAAATTTTTTAAATGAAATCTAGTTTTAAAAATTTATTCGTTTAAATAATCTTTCATCAATACGTAGGATATTGCAGTTAGGGACTCGTTGGGTTAGTATGCAGGTTACTTTTGTAGATATAAATTTAAAACAAAATTCTTTTATTTTTGTTTTCAAACAGATAAAAACCTCAACTTTTGGCGTATGTTTAATAGTTTTGTTAATTTTTCATTAAATGTATTTGTATATTAGTTAATGACGCTTTGGACAACTGCTCTCTTTAGATAAAATTATTGAACAAATGTAGCCAATAGTTTAAATTTGACCCTGAGCAAATCCTGCAACTTCCCATTCACCTTCAACGGGGGATTGTTCTACTCTTGTTCCAACTTACTGCCTGGCATCAACAATCCTTGTGCTCTCTACATGTGTTTCACTGCTGACAGGCAGTTGTCCATCTGTCTTGATCCTCAAGGTTTATGTGCATTAATCAAAGCTTAATCTTTCATTAATTAAGCATACATTAATGAATTGATCTTTCGTGAAGTCTGATGTCTGATGAAATCCTTACAACCGTTTTGATTGGATGATAACTTTTTTTCCAATTCATTACAGCGTATAGGGTGGCCAATGAAACAATCCTGTTGGACATCCCAAATTTTGCTAACTCAACTCCTGTCACGTCTGTCAATGGATGGATTGTCATTCAGCAGAGGATTGATGGCTCGCAGAGTTTCAACCAAAATTGGGACACGTATAAAGTATGCACTTGAAAAATGAATTTTTGCCCCAAATTGTTTAGAGTTTGTAAAATTTTGCAGTTAGGATTTGGAACTTACTACAAAAACTTCTGGTTGGGCTTGGAGAAGATGCACCAGTTAACGACATCGGCTGATTACAGGTTGAGATTTGAAGTGCTTATCAGCGGTGCTTGGTACTCCGATGAATATGACCATTTCACGGTTTGTAAACTGCGTTCATGTAAATTGGCAGTATCTAATACAAGATATTTTATAAAATAAAAGTTTGTTACGACATTCCGACTTTTATTTGTTTTTACTATTATTTTTTACTAAAATCTATCATATTCAATAACAACTTTTTTTAAAATGGCAAATTAAGTGATATTTAAAAAAAATTAAATTTAATTTTCAATTTTCTAAAAATAACTCATTCATAACTACAAAAATTGAAAATTTTAAACAATTCTAGATAAATTCGGAGTTTGAAAAATATTCCCTCAAAGTTTCTGGACACAGTGGAGATGAGAAAAATAATATGGACTACCACAATGGTATGAAGTTTTCAACACCCGATCAAGATAACGATCAGTATCCCGGCTTCAACTGCGCTCTGCTGTGGTCGTCCGGAAATTGGTTCAATTATTGTTTATATCAAAATATGAATGGTGTTTATGACTCTCATGGTTTGGATTATATAAGTTACTATATTACTTACTGTAGAATGATGGTGAAGCGTAACGTGTAAGTGGCATGTTTGTGAGTATTATCATTCATATCATATACTCAGTTGTTAAGGTGATTTCAAATATTAAAACTATTTCAAGCCTGTTCTAACAGTTATTACGAAAATGCGTTGCCACGTTATAACATTTTTTTTAAATTTATTTAACAACCATATGTTTATCAACTATGAATTTTTCGGTGAATTTTTGTGCAACGTGTTATGTTAATTGCTTTCAAAAGTTTTTATTTATGAATTAAACTAAAACAAATGGAGGATTGAATTTAAACGGCCATGCAAGCTTTTGATAAGTTAAAATATGTTAGGATTGCAATGAGAAATCAAGTTTGAGACAAAAAACTGTTTAGGCTCAAGCAATAATAATAACATAATAATAATAGTAATAATAATAATAATAAATTCAATATCACCGTTTTTATTATAATCTTAGATAACATGAACAATTCATATATATTCTATATCAGCTTTTCTATAGTCACATATTCTATACATATATATATATATATATATATATATATATATATATATATATATATATATATATATAATGTGTAACTTATGCCTATTTTTCTATGTTCATTTCATGTAGAAGAAGAACATCTATTAGCAACTGTGCTTTTTTATACGTGAAATTTGTGCAACTTGTAACTTGTAACTGTGTGTTGTGTTGTTTGTGAATGCTGAGTGTGTTGTGTGTGTGTGTTAATGTGTGTGAGTTGTGTGTATGTGTGTTGTTACATGTTCTGTACAACGTACTCAAAATTAACAATGCTAAATTACACATCAAAATTTTGTCTCCAGCAAAATAACAATGAAAGAAGAAAGAGTGAATCTTCCAACCTGCCACTGTGTACGTTGTGTGTGTGCGTGTGTGTCACATCACAGTGCACATGCGTGATTGTTTGTGTATGTGCATGCACACGTGTGTGTGAGGGTACTAAACATGTTTATGTGCATGTGTGTGTGTTTTTATGTGCGTGTGTGTGCACCCATACACAGTTGCATTGTAATTAGTTGGTTGGACTAGGAAATCGGGACCATGAAATTTTGACGGCTTTAATTAAGGACGAGCAAACTAGTGAGACATCCCACGTTTACTGAATATTGCTTCAAGAAGGAATGAAAATGTTAAACAAGTTTGGACACGCCACAAACAAACAAGTTTTTTGTAGGGCAGAAATTGAGCATTAGTATTTGAATTTCGAGAAATATATCTTGAATGTTAAATCTTTTATTTAATTAAATTAAAATTTAAAATGTGGTTCTCAACGTTTTTATTGATTATTTTGATTACTTCGGTATCGTCATCAGTCAACTCGTTAGCGTCAGCAGCAGTTGGCATGAAGTATGGAATGATAGGAGAGCCAGACAATCACATGTGTTTTGTTTCCCAACCTACCACTGTACTAACCAACATACGATCCTTACTGGAATGTTCTTCCAAATGTTCTCATTATGTTTTTCCCACTGATGGTAACATCACTTGCAACGCATTCAACTACGTATCCAACAATGCTAGTCATCCAGCTAAGTACTGCCAACTGTTTCATTTCACTAACAAGACAAGTTGTAGAATTACTCTTAATAAAACACTTTGCAAAGCATATAGAGTTAGTTATTTAATTTTGTTTAAAGTAGAAAATTCTCTTTTATTGCTTGAATTATCTTTTTAATAGCAATTTTTTATTTCATTTCTACATCTTTTCTCATTCAGTTAAATTTTCATTGCAGGATACCACGAGCAATGAAGCATTGTGTTAGTGATTCTTATAATACATTATTTGCTCAATCTTTCATTACCTTAACTAATTGTTTAATAAATTAAATTAAAAGTAGCTAGTTAAAGTTTTTGAATTTTTGACGATTTCCTTTTGAATAGTGAATTAATGTAGAATGTGCCACTATATGTTAATTGAACAATTTCTAACGAATGTTGGTTCAATATTTTTTCAGTATTTCTCTATTCAAAAATGATGTTTTTTAAGCAACAAATTATCCTCTGACCCTGAACAAATCCTGCAACTTCCCGTTCACCTTCAACGGTGGATTGTTCTACTCTTGTTCCAACTCACTACCTGGCATCAGCAATCCTTGTGCTCTCTACATGTGTCTCACTGCTAACAGGCAGTTGTCCATCTGTCTTGATCCTCAAGGTTTTTGATAAATTATTTGTAAATTTTTGACGAATATATTTTTAAAAAATGTAGAAAGAAATTGATAAAAATTTTTTCACCGGAACATATAAACATCTTTTTTTAAATTTTTATTGCATATTAGCCTACAGTGCTGCTAATGAAACGATCATGTTGAACATTCCAAAGTTTTCTAACCCAACTCCTGTCACGTCTGTCAATGGATGGATTGTCATTCAGCAGAGGATTGATGGCTCGCAGAGTTTCAACCAAAATTGGAACACGTACAAAGTATTTTGTGTAAAAAATTTTGTCAATACATGCTGAATTTTACTGTTTAAAAATTAAGTCAGGATTTGGCATTTACTACATAAACTTCTGGTTGGGTTTGGAGAAGATGCACCAATTAACGGCATTAGCTGATTACAGGTTAAGATTTGAAGTTCTCATCAGTGGTTCTTGGTACTCCGATGAATATGATCATTTCAAGGTCTGTCAAATTTTAACCTTTAATTTCTGAAATTGATTTATTTTGTCAAAATTTAAATGGCAATTTTAATTACAATGGTACCTGTAAAAATTCTAATATGACTATGAAACGTAAATATTACAACACAATTTAAACGATAAAAATGTTGCAGGTAGGCACAGAATTTCAGAAATACTTTCTCAACGTTTCTGGATACAGAGGAGATAAATGCGATATTCTGAACCATCCGAACCCAAAGTTTGTTCAAAATGGAATGAACTTTTCTACCCCAGATCAAGACAACGATCCTTACGCAACATACCACTGCGCTTTTAAGTATTCCTCTGGGAATTGGTACAACAAATGTTACTACCAGCGTCTGAATGGAGTTTATGGTTCATCGTTTGATTACGCTTATTCTCCCGCTACTCACTGCAGGATGATGGTGAAACGTAACTTGTTGTAGGAACATTGATTAATGTTCATTGGTCAACATTTTTTCATTCATATATATGAGATACACCATTCTATTTTTTTTATTAATTAACGATTGGTTTTGAACAAATTTTTGAACATAATAATGAAAACATTTAAAATTTATACTGATAGTTTTAAATAGTGGCAGATTATTATTCTTCAATTGTTAATATACAAGGTATATAAATAATAAATATGTTTTTTACACGAAGAAATATTTAATTCTGATCGAGTTTACAGCCAGGACTACATATACCTAAAACATAAACATTCATTGTTGATGACGTGGCACGTTGTTCTTGGCTCTCGTACATTTCGTATTTTTTCGGGTTAGTAGTATTCGTTTTCGTTGGGAATTAAACATTTTTGCATTGTTTTGTCTCCTGGAATTTGATTTTATTAAATTTATCAGTTTTTGTTTCTCAATCACAACTAGAAGTTTGTTGAAAGTTTTGCGGTTATGCCTTTTAGGGGAAATTACCTCGTTTCGGTCACTTCTATTGGAATTATTTCATGTTTTAGCTAATTATGGCTGACGAAAAGGTTAAAGCAACAAGAGGCAGTGCTTTAAAATCTGATTTCTCTGATGTTTTATATTGTTTATGCAACAATTTTAATGCCAATTTGCCAGAGAATTTCACGCGAATGTCAAATGAATTTAAAAACCTAAAACGCTTTTATGACGATAGCGTCAAACTTTTGGATGGATTTCGTTTTCTCATCCAACCTGTTATAACTAAAAGTGATATTAGTGAGATTAAAAAATTATCAGATATCACAACTGCTGTCAAGGATGATATCCATGCTCTGCTGAATCGCACATTCAAACTTAACGGCCAGTGAATCAATGAACCTGACTCATTTGAAAAATCAGTTGATTTTAAGATAGAACTCAAAGAGTCATGTTCGGGTTTTGTCAAAAGGAGTATAGACTCCGTTAGCAATGACGTCAAGTCTGTTCAGCGATTCCTTGATGTCGCTAATGACATCAGGGCAAAAGTAAACTTTAATGCTATTTTTAATCCTGCTGAGACTGATGGCAAGGACAAGAACACCATTTTGTCGGTTGTCAATAAGCCGACCGGTGATTCTATCAAAGCTGATGATACCTTAAAATCTCACAGACAGTGTCATAGAGTCGCTGGCACTTTACGTCCTATTCATGTTAAATTAGCGTGAAGTTTTTTGGCGCGGGTTTATGAATGAATGTTTCATGTGCGTGTATTGGTTGGTTTGTGTGCTTGTTCTACGCATGTTCTATACATACCAGCATGCAGGTCTGGTATGCATGCTGGTAAGACGTTGTATAAACTGGTTTTGTATGCATGCTGGTGGAATGTATGTGAATGGGTTTTACATGAATTGTATGGTGAGAGTATAGTGAGTTAATTTGAGAGTGTATAATTGCTCATGTGAATGAATATATAAGTATTTTGCGACAATTGTTTTTCAGATAGTTTTTCAAAGTTAGTTTTTAAGTTAGTTTTTGGTAGAGTGTTTGCTGTAGTTTTTGGAAGTAGTTGGTTCCTGGCGTGTTAGGTTTTGGTCATTTTGGTAATTGGTGATATTGTTCTGCAGGTTAGTTCTGAATTTAGTTAACTTGGAGGGCACACTCAGTGTGGTTGTTACCTCTGCACATTTTTCTCCACCAAAGTGTTGTGTTGTATTGTTCGCCGTTGTTCCATATGTTGGAACTGAACACTGGATCTTTTACGTAACATCTAAGTTTTTCAAAATAGAAATCTTGTATTTTCTTTATCATCTCACATATGATCACACTGGAACAATTGTATCTCTCAATAATTTCCTTTTCTTGGTCTCTGGAGATTCTCTCTTTCTCTGATGCCTGCGATAACTGTAACAAGATCATCAGGTATGTCCGGTTCGTGGATATCATCCTTAGATATTTTTGAAAAATATTCGTCCTGAAGTCATCAACATCACTCCAGAATTTACATAAATATTCTTTAGTCACTTCAGACTCGACGAAACTTGCAATGGCTGACATATTTAAAACTTCTTCAGAAATTTATCGCCACAGTTTGTTAGGGCGTGTAAGCAGTGAATTCGAACGAAATGCGTTTACAATTCCTCATTTATACCAGTTTTTATAAAGAATATTTTTTACAATAATTTTACAATCTACAAAATATCGACTGCTGATAATTCGTTGGTGGACTCCATTACAATATTTCCCGCTCTTGGATGGCTAACTTAACACACCAAAAAACAAAGAAAATACTTCCCTCCAAGTTAATTTCCTGATTTTAACAAAAATCCTAACGATAATTTCAAATAAGTTTCATTGGTTCGGTATTTAACATTCCCACGTTGAAAACGCTTCCGAGGTCAACTCACAAGTAGTGCAACACGAGCCCAGCGACACAGTATACGATTACATCAACGACCTCATCTCGACCCTCCATTACAAATTTCCCACTTGTCATGATTTTGTCAGAGTTTTTCTCTTAGACAAGCTGTAACGTACACAGGACCACATATACTGTTGCACTCATATACATGCATGTAATTAGTCCATCCTCCTTGAACCGTTTAAAAAGAGAAAATTGAATACATCAAATAAATAAATACATCATGCTCATCAATCTTCTTAAAATAGCGACACTAGTAGAAAGGCAGGGAATATAAAATGGCGCATCTGTTTTATGTAATTAAATGTTTGAGAACGAGACGAAAAACAAGTTTACATAAATAAATTTATTGAACCTCTCACGCACGATGACGACTAAACCAACAACTCAACAGCCTTGCATAAGAACAGAAAAAAAAGAAAAAATGTAATAAAAAATATCATCCAGTCTTGATGTAGATGGATATATGTACATATATTCATGAATTATACACGTATACAAACAGTTGCGAATTAGGTAAAGTTATATATCATGTATATATATACATACACACATGTTCATGAATACATGTATACACACAATTACGTACAACACATACATAAACAAAGACAATTTTCAGTGTCCTATATTAACGAATCTATAGACAAAAACATTATTGACACACATTCTGGCAAACATAAATACATTGAGAGAAAGAGAGGGAGAAAGAGAGAGAGAGAGAGAGAAAGATTGAGAGAGCAGACTAGAGAGGAGGTTTTCTGCCACTGGACATCCTCAAATTCCTTTCTAGTTCGTACTGCCGCAGGTCAGTCCGCTGCAAGAAAGCCATCCTCTCCAAATACCTAGGAATAGGTAGTGATGTGTTGTGATGTAGTGATGTGTTGTGATGCCATTGATGTAACGCGATGATCAAATGCTGATGCGATACAGACGAGTTAATGTAATGTAATTTACTAGGGGCAATGTTACAAAATGTAACAATGAACATTTGAAATGAAAAAAAAAACTGTATGATCAATCCACATAAACAAATAAAAAATTCTCCGCATAACATATACTGTGCCCCTCAAATACAATCAAGCTAACTCATGATACGAAGCTACAAGATGATAAAATGGATAAAAAGATGAATAAAAATTAGTGAAAGAATGAATGAAAAATAAAATAAACCAACCCGTTTTTCCCCCTATTATGTTGCTGCAACTCCTCCTCAATGCCTTCATCCTTTCTGAATCCAATCCAATCCAGTTTCGATTTGTCCTAATCATTATTAGAGCGGGTTGGTTGGTACTAATCCACTCTATCACTCATTCATTATAACAACATTCTAGTGCACACAGAAATAGGCACAAACACACAGACAAACACACAGACAAACTCACACACACACAAACATACCAGCACACTCATCTTTGGCTTCTTTTGAAAATTTTCAAGCAAGCTGTTCAGTCCACCGGATGGTCGTTTTGGCCTGTTGTGATGATGAGGATGATGATGATGATGATAGTGATGTGAGGACGATAATGATGATGATAGAGATGGGATAGTGATGATAACTCGGGTGATAAAAATGATGACAGATGATGATGACGACAATTTGAATGCAACAACAACAGCAACGCAATTACTATGTTATCATATTAGTAGCGAAACAGCATTAAATAACATTGAAATAATATTAAAGCAAGAATAAAAATACAAAAAAAATTTTTTGTTGACTTTACGTACCCTGGTAATTTGGAAAAAACTGAAGATGAAGATGGTGGTGCTGCTGCTGATGTTTTCAAAGTTGTACTTGATGATGTTGACGACGATGACGCTGATGACGTTGTCAGGGCTGATGATGACGACGACGACGATGATGACGTAGATGTTAATGGTGTTATCAATGATGACGTCACAGATGACGTTGTTGACAATTTTTTGGCCTCCTTTGAATCGGCATCGACTTCAGTAGCCACTCTGATGAATATGATAATGATGATGACGACGATGAGTTGATGAAGAAGTGATGATGATAGTGGTGGAGGTGATGACGATGATTTGGTAATCATCACCATCACCAGTAGCGTTAACATAATCATCACCATCATAGCTGGAAGTGTCAACAGCAACTTCACACCATCAACAAAAACATCACCATAACTAACTTCACTGTTTCACCAGCAAAGTTAAATTCTTTGACAATTGTAACTTTCTGTAGTAAAATGTTTCAATATAAACAAAGAATATCAATTACATAGTAAAAATTCCATAGAAAGTTTTTTTACATAAAAATCCATAAAACACTTGGAATATCATAAAATAAAATTTAGCAATAAATGTTAATCTTGAATATAAAGGCTCAGAACAAAAAATATATACATATCTCTCAAATATTTCAAAAATGAAATGAAATTATTAAAAATTAAAATCCCAAATAACCTCATTGTTAGTCTTTTTGGTAGGGCCCCCTACATCTTTCAAGAAATCAGCCCACAGACTGTCCGACTTTCGCTTACTTTCTTCGTCATTTTTCAACTTAATAGAATTTTTTTTCACTTTTTGAACGTAGCATAGCAGATAAAATTAGAAAACACAGATCCCAAAACAAACAACCATGAAGCCAAACACAACACACACAACAACACAGCACAAAACCACACATCTGCTAACATCATAGTACTAAACAACACTTAACAACATACATACATTTTGTGAAGCTTCTTCTTTAGATATATCTTCATTGTCGATGTTCTTTAACGGTTTACTCCTTAAAAAACAAAATGTTATAAAATGAATACCCACACACACACACACACACACACACACACACACACACACACACACACACACACACACACACACACACACACACACACACACATATATATACAAACACACACACACAAAGAATTTAAATGAAAACGCATCAAAATGCCTAGTTTTTTATTATATTATCAAAAAATGTTGTTGCACAATTAAAAAATCACTTGCTGCCAATTATAAGTAGTAAAGAATAAATTTTCTAATAAATAAATAAATTAATTAATTAATAAATAATAAATAAACTTACTTCGTTGTACATTTCTTCTGTAACTTTTTTTGCCTACACCCCCTTCCATTTTTTTTAGCAGCAGCATCAGCAACATCCCCATTGTCATCTTTAACGTCATCATCATTTGCAAACAATGCACTTTCATCCTCTCCTGAATTCTCTTCCTCACTAGCTAGAACACCCTCTGGATAGAGAAAAATCAATTAAAAATTTAAAAAGTTTATCTCTTATTTTTAATTTGTATTATAAATAATATAATCTTAATGAAATTTCGAAGACAATTAATAGTTCTATTAAATGAAAAACTGACAATGGAGTGAATTGAATTAAAATTAAAGTCCCAGCATTCCAGATTTTAAAAATTTGGATTTTATTTAATTTTAATTAATTTAAATTTAGAGTGAAAACATAGAAAAAATCTCACCTGTCGGCACATAATCCTCATCGTCGGAGTCCGAGCTGAAATCTTCCTCATCTACAACATTCGGCATTTTAATTTAGAAATACTTACCTATTAATGATGATTATTAACCTAAGTAAGTAAAGCAATGCAATCTAACTTTACTAAATTTATTACATTAAATTTCAAAAATAATTTATTTGATTTTATATTGAAAGTATTCAGCAAGTTAAAATATAAATATAAAAATATATATAAATATATATATTTAAATATATATTTCTAAACAAATTATTTTTGAATGAATTATGTCCGAGTTTTAATTTGACGAAATGCCCAAAATCAATAATACCGTGCGTATAGTTAGACAAAGAACACTATTTAAATGCAGCTAAATAAAGTTTTTATGGAAAGATTGTAGCATTTTATTAATAAGTTAAAATTGTAAATTGTCATATTAAAAAAATAGAACAATAGTATATACATATAGTATATACTCTCTATATATGTAAATAGTATTTAAAGATTTAAATGTTGAAATTTAAAAAAAAACCATTATGCCATTATTTGACATTTTTATTGTGATATAAATGCTATTAATAAAAAATTTTGTTTTTTTTTTTAAATTTGAAATACAAAATCTAGATGTTCTTTCAATATTTAAAATGATAATTGTTTTTTCTATATAAATATAATAAAAAATTTTGTTTTTTTTTATAATTTGAAATACAAAATCTAGATGTTCTTTCAATATTTAAAATGATAATTGTTTTTTCTATATAAATATATATGGAATATTTTATTCATTGAATTAGAAATTTGAAGATGTATTAGGTGTGTTCGTTTTCTACTTCAGGGCATGTGTTGTCGTGTGCTTAATATCTATCCAATTTCATTGCTTTTTGAATAAGAAGTCTTCGTTTGTTATGTTAACATGTTGAATTTGCCAGATTTTAATGGCTAAATTTATGGATTATTTAATTTGTTTATTTATCTTAAAATTAACTTTTTAAGTAGAACATGTTGACTACGGATTAGTGATTAGGGATAAAAGGAAATGTGACGTTAGCCTGTGACAGATCTTATTAAAAATTAAAATTTTCAACTTTTTCAAGTTTTTTTCTCCTTTCTCTCTTTCTCATTTCATATTTTCAATAACTTTAGGATACATCATTATATTCAATTTTTAAAATCGAATATTTATAAAATATTTTCAGTATCTTTTTGAATGAGTAGATGAGTAACTACTAAATGTAAATAAGTAATAGTGAAGTATCATTCCAAATACAGACCTCTGTGGTGTCTCAGCCTTTGGTAGTCCTTTAAAAATATCAACCTTCACTTCAAGTATAGTTAATTTAGTTTAGTGGCATTAATTAGGCATTAAACAAAAATTCACCAATAACTTCAAAAGATTTAAAAGTCCAAAATCTCATTAATTAAATAAATGCATAATAAATCTACATATGCTCCTGTTGCTACCGAATCTCCGACAAGTCAGTCAGACGACAACTCGGCATTTCAAACACTCGACTTCCCGCTTGTCACCACCACCACCCACAACAACTGCAGCAGCAACAACAACTACGACGACGACAAAAACATCAATAACGATAACCTCAGCGTTGATGTGAGTATGAAAAGACGTAAAAAGTGGCAAGTGTTTCCGGGAAGAAACTCATTCTGTTGCGACGGAATCATCATAACATCTCAACAACAGGGCATTTTTTATCTCACTTGCACTCTCATCATCGGCACCAACATCCTGTTTTTTGTCTTTGAGTATGTTCGTTGTTTTGCTTAATTTCCACAACAAAATAGGACAAATAATTGGATAGATTTATTGATCAATTGTATTTGTTTATACATAGATAAGTGTTCTATGTCGTTATGGGTACATTTGGTAATGGTTCGTTATGGACTATGATGTAGTATTCATCCAGCTGATACACTAACATAACTACACACACATTTACTCACTCGATCACTTATCAACTCATTCATTCTTTCACGCATTCGTTCTTTAACTCATTCATTCACTCATTCACACACTGACCATCTAGCTCTCCCTTTTTAGCCTCTGAGGTTAGTCTCCTAATACCAATCTGTGCTGGCATCTTGTTTTTCTTCGTTCTGGCTACACTCCTTAGGACAAGTTTCAGTGATCCGGGGATCATTCCTCGAGCCACCAAGTCTGAGGAACTCGAAATTGAGAACCAGATTGGTGGGTGTGTTTGTGGGTGGTGCTGACTGGTTATTGGCTAGCTGGTGATTGGCTGGCTGGTGATTGGCTGGCTAGGGGAAGCATGAAACCACAGTAGTTCTCGTTCATTGATTGTTATGTATACTGATAATGCTGATGATGTTAGCAGCTAGTAATGATTATGTTGATTGTGATGATGGTAATAATGATATTGATGATGATACAGATATTGAAGTTGATGTTGATGAAGATGATGACACTTTCACCCCGTAATTATAAATAATGATTCTGTCAGTTTGCAGTATCACAATTATACATCACGTGTAGTACATGTGTAATGACGGAGACGACGATGATAACGACGATCATGACGATTCTACCTTCTCTGTACTATCAACATCTCACCAGCAGAAGTGGCACAATCGAGTTCGACGACCTCGGTGTACAGGCCTCCACCACGGACCAAGGACATCGTCATTAGGGGACAGTCGGTGCGACTCAAGTACTGCTTCACCTGTAAGATCTTCAGACCACCCAGAGCGTCGCACTGCAGCGTTTGTGATAACTGCGTTGGTGAGTTACTCTACTCATCTGTCTGTCTGTCTGTCTGTTTGTTTGTCGTGTTGGGGTTCTGTTGTGAATGATGGTGATGTCACTTTGGATGATGATGATGATTATGTTGGCGATGATGGAGGTGATATATTTTTGGAATGACTCTCTCTTTCTTTGTTTCTCTCTCTCTCTCTTTTCTCTCTCTCTTAATATACATTATGTGAGTTTGCATATTTCTCTATGCATCGCCACCATAAACTAATAAATTGTTATTTTATAAATTTTTGGATGACAAACTTAAGTACCATGTTGAACTTTCACCATCTCTTTGTTTACATTTAAACTTCTTCAATAATTAATTAATTTAAATCAATAATAATCTCATTAATATGCATCATTTTACATCATGGCTTACTTAATGTAACCGTTGACTTATCTATATCCAGAGTTAATTTATTAATATTCATCACAAGTTTATTAATATTAATGATGAGTAATGAAGAATAATAATTTGCTCATTAATTAGCATCCATAATTATTGTTTGGGCATTTTGCATGTCTGGCACAGTTATAGTCTATGGTACTGTGTATTTCTAGTTAGTGTTATTTCATGTAATTAATTGTCCAATTAATGTTGCTCCTATGATAGGGTCATATTTAATGATGATGACGATGATGTTGATGATGATGATGACGATGTTGATAATTATAATGATGATGACGATGATGATGATGACGATGTTGATGATGATGATGACGATGTTGATGATGATGATGACGATGTTGATGATGATGATGACGATGATGATGATGATGATGACGATGATGTTGATAGGTCGATGGTAACGCCGATGATGTGCTGATGACGACGCTGATGATGACGACGAAGAAGATGAGGATAATGATGATGGGCATGATGATGATGATGACGACGCGAATGATGATGAAGATGATGATGATGAAGAAGAAGATGATGATGATAATGACGCTATTTTCTCCGTATCATCAACATTTTTCTAACTTTTATTAATTCAAAATTAGTCACATCTGACTTGACTTTTTATTCAGTGGAACATTTAAATACAATATCAGCGTTGTTGTTGAATAATTAATGAAGTCTTTTTTTTAACACATTACCACTAAAGAAATGTGTTTGTTATATCACTATCTATTGAATAATTATGAATAAATTATATCATTTGTCACTATCTGTTGAATATTCATGAAGGAATTTTGTGATTTTCACTATCTATTGAATATTCATGGTTATTGATTGTTGATTATTTATAACACTTATTGTATATTTTTAATTTAAATTAATTTTAAATTTAAATTAATTTATATTCATAGCCATCTTCATTACATTATCATCTTATTAATATTTTATTTATCAGAAAGGTTTGATCATCATTGTCCCTGGGTAGGCAATTGCGTTGGCCTGAGAAATTATAGGTATGTGTGTGTGTGTGTGTGTGTGTGTGTGTGTGTGTGTGTGTGGTGTCTGTCTGTACATGTTTGTGTGTGTGGTGTGTAAATAAGTGTGAATGTGAATGTTCATCTAAAATAAAAGTTAATACCTGTACAGGTGTTTTTATAGATGTAAATAATAATGATAGTAATAAATTATTATCATTCTTACGGTTATAAACGGTTTTACTATCCCAAGTGCACGAGTGAATTTATAATGAAATAAATTAGATGTGGAACATGAGAAGCCAAAGGTCTGAACACTTTGAAACCATTGAGACTTCTTGATCTCATTGTATTTAATGTAATTGTATTGCTATTGACCTGGAGAGGCTAAACTATTTGAGATAAAAGTTTCGCATAAATTATGATCTATGCATATGTCTGTACGTAAATTAATAAATTATGCAAATATTTTACATAAGTTATCTTACGCTTAAATGAAATAAATTATGTGCTTAAAATTCGATATAACAGTTAGCATACATTAATCATTTGTAGGCGAATAATTTGCATAAATTAATAAATTATGCAGATATTTCTACATGTTCCTGCTGTCCTTGTCGATCCTCTGCATATTCATCTTCGCATTTTCCATTGCTCATCTCTTTTTACGTAATTTTCTTCTAGTTTTTTTTTTTAATTATAATAATTTATTGCTATATAAATAAATATAAAAATTGCCATCGACATCTCTGCCATCATCTTCGCCATCATAACATCATCACGGTCGTCATCATCATCGTCGTCATCATCGTCGTCATCATCATCCTCATCATCACGCAGTATCAAGGAGTAGTGGTTTCTTGGAAGCAATCAAAAAAGCTCCAGCGAGATATCCTTTGTGATGTTGTTGTTATTGTTGATGTCTTCTTGACATTGTAGATAACACTGTTGTTTTTTTTTTGGACAATTCTCTCGTCAATATCTCTCATAGGTTTCGACATTCCATTGCATTGCATTGTAGAGGGAATCTACTTGCATTTGAAACCTGTCACTGCAACAGTAGCACCAGGCTCCTTGACTGTTACATCATCTCGTCATCAGTAATTTGGCTGATGTTGTTGATGACGACCGCGTTATTTTGTCAGATCTTGATTCTCAATATATTTTCAACTTTTCTTTAACCGTTTATATTTTCATGTTGAATCATTTATAATATTAATGACAACAACATTTTAAACAACGACAAAAATTTGGCCGATGGCTATTTCGTTGAAAACAACAACAAAATATTTTGGCTGCAACGACAACCAAAATATCCATCTCAACCTAAATAAACTACAACAACATTAATCGCGCGACGTCATTGCTGTCACAACAACAACAACATTAACAACAACTACATCCAACAAAAACAACATCAAATTTCAAATGGCCATATCTTTCTGCAAACACTGTTATAGAAGCCCTCATTTGTTTCTTCAGTGTATGGTCGGTCGTTGGGCTGACTGGCTTCCACACTTACCTCGCTGGTGCCAATCTCACCACCAATGAAGACGTTAGTTCTCCCTCTCTCTTTCTTTTATTCTCTCTTTCTCTCTCTCTCTTTCTCTTCTATCTTGTTCTTCTTTTTCTCTCCTTCAACTATCTCTGGTTTGCCTTTTTCCTATTTCCTTTTCTCTCTCTCTCTCTCCTCTCTCTCTCTCTTTTCCTTTCTTTTCTTCCTTCTTTCACTTTCTCTTTTTCTCTTACTTTCTCTGACACTAATTAATATTAGTTGGCACTAATTAATATTTGTTAATTAATTAATTAATTATCTACTACATTTCTTCGTTATAGATGAAAGGTACTTACTCGTCGAAACACGAAGACGTCACCAATCCATACAGTCAGCCGCACATCCTGCATAATTATATGCAAATCATATGCGGGCCTCTCCCGCCGAGCTTGATTGACAGGAGGGGCCTCATCCAGTCAGACTCAAGCAATAATTTTCCCAACTACAATGGCAAGAGCACCCTCCTTGACGATAAAAACGTCATCAATCACGTCACCCCAAACAACAACAACAATAACCTCAATAACAATTTAAACAACAACAGCAACAAATTAAACAACAGTAACAATAGTAATAATAACAGATCGACGAGAAGCAACATTATACCTAACTGTACCGCGGTAGATAATGATGACGACGACGACGACGATGATGACGACGACCCTGCCTATGCCTACAGTGGCGATACTCTATCGTCATCTGATGAAAGCAGTAATCACGTTCATCTCTACCAGCTTAACGGCGACAATAACAATCATAGTAACAAGCTTAGTAGTGTCGGTAATAATAATACGAATATCAATAGCGACGGGGTTAGTAATAATGTTAATAATAATAATCATAATAATAATAAATTTAATTTCAATTTTAAATATAATAAAAATGCAAAACTACATAACGAGGGTGTCGATGATAATATAAATGTCATTTTCGACGGTGGCGATGGTGGTGACGACGGTGGCGAGGATGGTGGTGGTGGTGGTAGGAAAGGGAGCTGTGAAGTCATGGAAACCGTATTCATTAATTTTCAGGTGGTGGTTATGCCGTTATTGTGGATGTTGTTTTTTAGTCTTTATTTATACAACTGCCTCAGGCGCAGAATTGCTGCTTGCGTATCATTACCCTTGGATATAGAGTCTATAATTTATCTGTACCAAGTAGGCCTTTGTAATGCGAAGCCTGTGACATCCACACTACACGTTGGACACACCACACGGCGTTAATACCACACCTTACTCGCATCAACGCCACATGTGTATTTTCAGATAGTGTGGACGCACGAGCGTCGCATCTTATAGCCATGGTCTTGCGGACAGTCAGTTTTGAAATCGAACCAGATCATGGCGCAATAAAAACTCGAGGTTGATGGCACTTCTACCGACGGAGCTAACTCGCTAACTAGGCGCTTTAATAAAGTTGTCGACGGTGATTTTGTTAATGAATATGTAGAAAGTGTGATTCACCGATTTTAAGATATAACTTACTACTAACTAGAAATCCCTTCCAACAGATGTCTTTACTCTTTCGTTCGCATTTTTGCAGGAACCTTCGCACAAGATAAACGCAGACAGAAAGACAGTCAACATGGAGGCTGTCTAATTAACATATTCAACGTAATTAGCATGATTTATGTGCACGTCGTATGTAAAAGATTTAAAATCAAAACTACAACGAAATGGCTGGCGCATAGATAAATATATTGCTAACAAATCCCGTTCCTCTTCATGTTTTCATTTATACTTTTAATTATTTTTCATTGTACGTCTAGTGCATTTAATTAGTTAAGTTTTCTGACAAACACACACACACAACACACCACACACACACAGGCACACACACACACAAACACACAATATTTGTCTGTTTTATTGTGCTTGTGCACGTGAGCGTACTTTTACTATTCAAGTTCATCAATTATGATAATTATCGTTAGAGTTGTTTTTTATTAGGACCGACAATAATGTAAATGTTATTGTTTATTATATTTTTTTATTGGATTTCTTATCTTTTGTTTTTCTTGTTCTTAAAGATGTCTACATACATACATATGTGTGTATGTGTTATTTTTGTAAAGGAGCGTCGTTAACCTATTCATTTGTAAAAGTCAATCTTAACACACACACACGCACACACACACACACACACACACACACAGAGGCATATATATATATATATTATTTCTTTAACAATTTATGTATTGTTGTATTATTTTTTTCCAGTTTTCATCGCATTTTATTATTCACGCATAATTAATTATACATGTATATGTTTAAAAATGAGTTAATGAAAATATATTATATATATATATGTGTGTGTGTGTGTGTGTGTTTATGTGTGTGTGTGTGTGTGTCTGTGTGTGTGTTGATCTAGTTGATATTTTCAATCACTTCTGTGTGTGTGTGTGTTGATCTAGTTGATATTTTCAATCACTTCTATATATGTAAAGGATGAGAAGGGGAAGGTAAGAGATAGTTATAAACAAATGGGGATTTTCGGGCTTCTGAAAATTTCTGTACAAATTTGCCTTTTGAATGGAATGAATCTAGAATTCTCCACAGGAAATTTGTAATTACATGAATGTAATATCGCTTTCCAGTGACAGTGAATGTGGAAAGTTGGGTTGAAATAAAAAACATCTTTGACCTTTGTGGGGCTTTCGAGCTTTACGCTGCGGCATACGTAGGAATTAAAATAAAGCACTTGACCTGAAGATGTTTGGGTCATTAATTATCTCTTACGATATTCCTCGCCAATCACAGGCGGACGGGCTGAACTTTGCCTTAAGTAGAGTTTATGATAGAGAGAATACAATGAGGTAATATCAATTTTGTAGAAAGTATGATAACCACAGATTTTATAATTTAATTTTTTTTCCCGGAATAAAATAAGTTCAACGTCGAGGTCGTCATCTCCTTCAAGTTTCATAAAACGTGGTTTCGATTTGATCTGACGATTTTTCATGCTAAATAATTTTATAGTTCTGAATATTTAGTTTATGTTGATGCCCGTTCGACAAACTCAATATCTCTTGGTTTCCAATAAATTTGGTAGTAGAAGCTTCTGATTTTTTTGACAACACTTTTATTTTTTAGCTGGATGTCTGATAAATTATGCTCAATTTATGATATATGTTTCCATTTAAACAAAGTCAAAATTGCTTATTCAAAGGTTTTGCAATTTTTTACCACGATAATATACAAACTATCTGATTTGTTCTTTGTAGTATACACGTTTTGATCTTATCATCTTTATAGTTTCATTGAACGTCAACTGTTGATACTGAAAAATACTTTTGAACAACTTTTTTACTTGTCAAGAGATTACTTTGGTTTTATTTTGAAATCAGTTTTCCGTTCTTGTGAAAAAATCTAAACAAATTGAAGTAAGTAACATAATAATGACGTGAATTTAACTTCACCATTGCAGTTGATTTGATGAAATTTGCTAAAAGTATAATTTTCATTTGCCTGAGTTAGTATTCCTGCTTCGATTTTTTTTTTGCTTTACAATATTTTCAACATTTTTAGCATGTCTCCTTGGTTGCAGCTACCACCTTTTCCAGTTGAGAGCACATTGTAATAACTGTCTGGTCGGTTTGAAAATTAACTTGGTAACTTAAATTAGCTGTTAGAAAATCGGTTTCGCATATACTTCGTGAGTTGTATTTATTAATTATATTTATATATTTATATATATTTGTAACATGTTTCATCGTCGTTGTTGAAGTTCGGTTCTTTTAATCTGCATAATCTAAGACCAACGATTATACATTCTCATGTTTGTGAAGTGTTGGAATGTTTAATGTAGGAATGATGTAATTGATAATCGCGTTCGTCTACGATGTTGCTTCTAGTCCGTGTTTCTTTAATGGATATTGGATTAAGATTGTCAGGAATGCAATTATTAATGAAAATCACAGCATGTTCCGCGTTTAATTTTTCTTTTTTAATTTCCGTTTTAATTTTAATTTTTTGATTTTTCTAACGGTAGATCGTAAATCATAGTCAAGTTTCTTGAGTTCAAAACCAAAATTTTAGCATAGAACAGGGGTGGGCAAAACTACGGCTATATGTGGCTCGCAAAAAAAGGCGAAAAAATGCATTTAAGAACATATGCGGCCCTTCAAAGGTAAAATAGTTCTCAATGCGGCCCTCACAGCAAAAAGTTTGCCCACCCCTGGCATAGAACATTTAAGCCATATATATATATAGAATATATGTTATTCTACATATGTGATTTAAGCATGATAGATCCATGTTTAATCAAAAAATTTAACAGGGAGTTAACTGACACGGAACATGCTGTATGGATTTCATCTATCAATCTATCTACTATCTATCAATATATATGATTATATATATGATTTGTAATTATTATATTTTATGTCATGTACGTACAAGCGATTTCAAGAGTTACAAAGATGTTAGATAATTCGTGCTGCTACCAACAATGATCTGTTTGTCAATCATTTGATAGCAAATAATCTGCTTCTTTTTTCTTTTTAGTTGCTACATTAATTTTTAAAGTTTCGTAACTGCCATTTTACAATTTGGCATGCCTACGTGAGTACAATAATTATTTTGTAAACAGTTCGAATATTTCATTCTAATGTTTCATCCATCTAAATTTTGAAACTTGAATAGAAGACGATGTAAAAAGTGTCTTTAAGAAGAAAAAAATTTTCAACAACGAATTCATTTTCAATTGGGTATAACATATTTAGGCTTTTTTCATCTGATTTAATGGAAAGCACACAACCTTCTTTTAACTATATTGTGATAAAATTAAACGGAAGAAATAATTGTTAGCTTTCGGTTTGTGCATAATTTAGGTTTATTCTATATTCTCAAATTTTCATCGAGCGTAATTTCATTTGAAACAACTTTTTACATTTATTTTCCACCTAATACATCATGCTGATAATAAAACCAAGTCAGTAAAGCTCTAAATATTCATTGTAGACACATGTATCTACTTTGTTTTTATTCATTATTTTCACTATTTCATTGCATTAACATTGTTTTTAACCTTTTTCAAATACCGCGATGGCAAAGTTTTCCCCCAAAACGCTTACCATTAGTACCTTGCTAATCATGAAAAGGAGTTTTTTTCATTTTTTTTTGCAAAAATCAAAGATTTTTGTTAGCTGATTTGATTGGAATTGATTTGTCCACTTCGAGAGATTGGTTGTGATGGTTTTTGCAAATGTGTTTATTTTGCGAAGGTTGGTGTAAATATTCGATGCGTATTTTAGTGTTTTTTTGTTATTTATGATTTACCGAATTTAATTTAACGCTTACGATTTAAATTCATCATTGAAATGTTTTATAGATGTTTGTCTGTGTGTGTGTGTGTGTGTGTATGTGTGTGTGCCTCTGAATATCGTTTTTAGTTAGTAATTTATCAAAGGAAATCTATCTGATTGTTAAGAAGATTTTATATTTGAATTCATTAAAAACTTTTGTAAATGTTCGTGTTTGTAAAGCTGTACCTGATTTGGTTTTATAAGTACATTTAATATCATGTATGTTTCCCAATCATCTAACCATTAGTTGGTTAACAATTTTAAATCAATTATAAATTTATTTTAACGCTTTTTTTATTATTTTTTATTTAATTTTATTGATGGCCAGCTGGAGCCTACCTATAAAATTAGTTATTAAATTAGTTTTGACTGCTCTGATTTGGAGTTATTTTTTAAAATCAATTTTTGATTTTAAAATTTTTGTCTTGGTTAGCTATTTTTTCGTTTTGTTCTTATTTAGATTTTTGTTTCAAATTTAAGGAGTATTTTTTTAGTGTATGTCACCAGTAATTTTTAAGATTTGTGAATTTATAATTTGCTAGAAAATATACTGCTTGATAAAAAGTGTTTGTTTTTTCTTCACAACCAATAAGAATGTCAAAATTCTCTTTACACGAAAGAAGATTTATAAGCGAGTTTTAAAACAATTCAATCGATATTGGAATGGATCATTCACCTTTTAGTCGTCGGTGAGTCTAGTAACTACACAATGCTAATCCACACAACAAAATACTTACAAAAACGCGCGCACGCACACAGACACACACACACACGTTACGTGATGAAACTTCATCAATTTAAGATTAATCTTTTCCTCTGAGCTGATGGAACAATACAGAAAAGACATTAAAAAATGCCGAAGTAACTGTTCTTCACGCACGCTATGTTCTGCCATTTTTCGAAAAGTTAATTGTTTGCTCATTGCAAAGTATAATTATAAAAATATATTATAATTTAATTAATAACATATATTACAATATAATGTATGAAATTAAGCATGGATTGTTAGCGAGTGACATAATCTTACGAAAGTTTTTAGGGTGTGATGGATTTTTTGGGTATCTTATTAACACTTATGATTTAAAAAAATAAATATTATTTTGGATTGTTTACGTTTAGTGGTTTGTTATGATTTATTTACAGCGTATATTTTCTTCAGTTAAAAACTGTAAAATTCAATCAACAACACTTTGCTGCACTTTAAAAAAAATTCATTGTCCCACAACTGACAACTTTAATCATACAGAATCAAAACATTTATTGTTATTATTTATTAATATTTTATTATTCGATTATCATCATTTGCTTGCAACAAATCTTTTTTTTATGGTCTAGGAAAATTACCTCTTGAATAATGAATAGAGCTAATATTGGCCAAACATTAGCAGAAAATGTTTACATTTATGCTTTGACAGGCAAGCCATTCAGTAGAGTAAAAAGCAGGCAACAATGTAAAATGTTTGCAGATATTTTTGACATAAAAATATCGTTAGTGATGTGAATGTTTCTTACAATTTTAACATTAGGATGGAATTTAGTTGTTTGTTAAATGAATTTCGAAATAAATTCTCAATAAAGAAGCATTATGATTTCAGTTCTGTTACTTTTATTTAATAAACTAACGTGATAAATGTTCTTTGGAATTTAAAGAGCATTCAGAAAATTGAAAATGTTATTGATTGCAGTCCTTTTAATAACATTAGCAACTGTTAAATATGCCTCGGCAGTTGATAAGAAGTTTAAATAATAGGAGAGCCAGACAATCCCATGTGTTTTGCTTCCGAACCTGCCACAGTCCTAACCAACATACGATCCTCACTGGAATGTTCTTCCAAATGTTCTCATTATGTTTCTCCCACTGATGGTAACATCACTTGCAACGCATTCAACTACGTATCCAACAATGCTAGTCATCCAGCTAAATCTTGCCAACTGTTTTCTTAATCATAGATACAAATTGTTCATACATACGACGTTATACGCTTTCATTGAGTTGTGAAATATATTTTGGAATAATTTTAAACCTAAATTTTCGTCAAAGGATGTTGCCGTAAAAAGAATATTGGGTCAGTTTGTTTTTTTCTTCAGAATTTACATACATTTTACCTTATTTAACTTAATAGTAAATTTCTATTTTCATACAAAAGATGCAGCTTAATTTTTATAATAATGAATTTGATGGATAGTGAATTAACCATGTTCTAGTTATACTTAGGTACCTACTGATTTGATTGCGTATTGTAGATACAATTTTCAATTAGTTTCAAGTTAATTTAATTTTTTTTTCGATTTTACAGCTGCCTATAACAGCTTCAGATTGCCGATCTGTGAGTTTAGTGTTTTAATTTCAAGTTTTGCTGAATTCAGAAATTGCGTCATCAAAATTGTGAAATGGCAATCGGGATTTACAATTATAGTCGTCGTTAATTTTAATCTTTCGTAGTATGATTTTTTAATTTGCCAAAAAAACTAGCTTCATCAAAAGTTTGTAATAAATGCTTTGTGAGAATAATGAATCTGTTTGCTTAGTTTTCTATTGAATTTTTACATTTCTATGTTAGAACCCTTTATATCAACAATGCATTTATATGAAAAAAACTATCTTAAAAGACGCACCGCTAAACACAAATGTCTTTCGTCAATATTTTTTAAAAATACCGGTTAATTTGATTAATTTGTCATAATAACGGAATATTTTTTAGAAGCAAATACATCTTTTCTGACAGCGAGAAAATCCTGCAACTTTCCATTCACCTTCAACGGTGGACTCTTTTACTCTTGTTCCAACTCACTACCTGGTGTTAATAACTCTTGTGGTCTCTACATGTGTCTCACCGGTAACAGGCAGTTGTCCGTCTGTCTTGACCCTCTAGGTTTTGAAAGAAATTGTTTCAAATTACAGATAAATCGAATCAAAATAAATAAACTTCAGTTTAATTGAAAGTTTCCTTGGCATATGAACCGAATTAATTTAAATGAATTTTTTCCGAAGAGTATACTTGTGATGTAAAATTTGAAACCTCAAAGTCGATTGCAACAATTTTTGTATCACATTGACACTAATTGAAATTAATCAAGCTTACACTGCCGTCAACCAAACTGTTTCATTGAACATCACATCGTTTGCTGATTCAACTCCTGTCACGTCTGTTAATGGCTGGATTGCCATTCCGCAAAGGATTGATGGTTCGCTTAGTTTCAACAAACTTAGGAACGTTTATAATGTTTTATTGATTGGTTATTAAATTTTTCCAGTTGTCATTCCGTAATAGCGATTAACATTTGTATTTTCCAGTCTGGATTTGGTATATACGATGGAAATTATTGGCTCGGTTTGGAAAAGATGCACATGTTAACGACGTCAGCCGATTACAGATTGAGGTTCGAAGTTCTCGTTAATGGAGTCTGGACTTCTGATGAAAACGATCATTTTGTGGTTTGTTTTTATAAGTGGTGAAATTATAATCTCAAAAGTATAACGATGGAGTTGTTCTCTTGATGTCTCTGGATACAGTAGAGCATTATTGTTGTAACAAAATATTATCTGATTATATTAAAAGCCGTTATTTGAACGGGCAGATGTTTATAACAGCATGTTGTCTGTTGATGAGTTAGTTTTCTTTGTTGAATAAAATCTTTCTACAATTTTTTTTATCTTTTATTATCTTTCTAAAAAAAAATCACAAACCAGACATCACACACACTGAACTTGCATAGGATAGGCCAGAACACCGTGCAGTCGAACCCAGCAGCAGCACAACAGGACAAGGCGCCTTTAACAATTAGGCTATCACGTTAAGCTATTATGTATTGTAATTGTTTCTCAAGCTATGGAGAAATTTTCAAAGCAAAATCTTCTTGAAAAATAATTAGCCGCAAAAGTTTTTTTTTATGATATAGCAATTTGTATGAAATAACAATAGGCTGAAGCTCGCTCGCAAAATGTCATGTCCATTGTTATGTTTGCTTCAGCTGAGCAAATAAATGCCTCCACACCAACATTCAACAAATTTTGGCTCTTATTAAATAATAATTGCAATGCGGAACTTATGAATGATTCCAACAACAAAATATTTAAAAAAAAATAATAAAAGCTCATTTAATTGACCAGTCGATATATGTATGTCGGTCATAATTCAAGACAGGACATCAGTACCATTAAAACGAAATTATCCAATCGATGTAATGACTTAAGATGTTTTTGCATTGCCTTCAACAAGCTAATATATACATCTGTCACGTCACATGCCTATACGAACATTAATTAGTGTAAAGCAGAAATGAACGCGTATAAATTTATATATGTTTGGGCTTGCCAATGCCTTGGTGTTTTTAAATATTTTTAAACGTTTGATGCATATCTTGAGAACTCTGTTTAATTTTTTAAGCAATTTCCAGGAATAAAATATATTTTGAAATGGAAAAGTACTTGTTTTCAATAATTTTTTTGCGGTTTTTGATGGTGTTTGCAAGTGAATTACTTCCAACTGATCCAAGCTATCAAAAACTAAAAAATGAGGCAACAAATGGCTCTCTCTGTTTTGGCGGTGAAGCTGTCAACGAACAAACAAACATCAGATCCATGCTGGAATGTTCAGTCAAATGTTCCCAACATAATCCTTCATTTTACATGGTCGGAGCAGTGAATGCAACATGCAATGCATTTAATTACGTGACCCAAGACGACAACACTTCCATGTGTCAACTCCATCACGTAGAATCTCGATCTGATAACTTTCCAACATTTCAGGTAAAAAATTGTAGAGGATATTTTGCTATTGTGGATAGCCCACAAAATAATCCTAATGTTGCTACTGTATCCGCTTCTACGGCAACAACTGCTACTGCAAGTGCAAGTTTACTTGATACATCTTCTACTAGCGACACGATATCAACCACACATTCTGCCACTCTGTGTCCTAGATTAGGTTATATTTTGTATGAATTTTTCAAAAACTCAAAAAAAACGTATTAAACTTTTTATTATAAATCATTTCAATTTTGTCATTATAAAATATTATATAATGTTCTTGACGAGTCATATTGTTATGATTTAAGATAAAGTTTATAGCCTAATCAGTAGCTCCCAATGCAACTTTCCATTAACATACAACGGTGGTCGGTTTTACAATTGTTCCAACAAACTGCCTGGAATAGCAAATCCATGCGGACAATACTTATGCATGAATGTTAACAACAGTCTGGCTATTTGCCAAAATCCGTTAGGTGTTGCATTTCAAATTTTTAAAAAGTATTGAAACATTATCAATTTTTTAATGTATATTAGAATTCTATGCAACTACTGAGGCAATTTATCTGATATTTCCAAACGCTACTTCATCAACCACCTTGTTGTCTGTCAATGGATGGATTGTTGTTCAGCAGAGAGTTGATGGCGCGCAAAGTTTTAGTCAGAGTTGGGCTTCATATAAGGTTGACTCAATGTTCAATTTATTTTGTTCATGGTATAATTTCCATGTCTAATTGCCCTGTTTGAAATAACCGTGTTAAATATTCAATTCCTTATCATATGTCTTTTCCGAACATTTTCCTTTAACATTGCAAGTAAATGTTGACCACATTTACAAACACCAACAGGCCCACTCAGCCAACTACAGATTGAGATTTGAAGTTCTCATAAATGGATACTGGATGTCGGATGAATACGATAGTTTCAAAGCACGTTTACTCTTCAAAACATTTAAAAAAATTGAAAAATAATTTATAACTGCATTTTGTTTCTAGACTGACTCTGAAGAGCTCAAATATGCGATTCATGCCTCAGGTTACTGTGGAAATCATTACGACGTTTTGAACATGCAACTTTCTGGAGGTATTTACGTAGTGAACGGAATGAAATTTTCAACTCCAGATCAGGATAACACCTCAAACCTTTTCAGATGGGCACAAAGTTGCTTGATGGGATATTGGATCAACACAGGGTGCATTGGCAACCTTAATGGAATATATGACAATTCGCTTTTGTATTACGATGCTAGAATCAACTACTGGCTTCCGGCGAGCTTCTGTAGGATTATGACTAAGATAACTTGAGTGCTATCAGAAAAACGGAGCAGAAACTAAATTTTGTTTTGGCGTTTTCTATTCTCTTAAGCGTGAATTTTGCATGAAAACTACATAATTTTTATAATTATATTTTTTGTGACTTGGGTTGATTCAATTGGTAGCAAAGAGAAAATTTGTTTTAAGAAATGGCATGAATACAAAAAATTGCAGTTGATGAACAATTTTTTTAATTTCAGTGTTAAACTTTTGAGCAATTTTAGATTTCAAACATAATATTTTCAGCTTTAACCGTCAATTTTTTGCTTATTGCAATTTTTCATTTAGTGTTATTGTACACATGTTGCATATAAATACGTAAACTTTTAGGGTTGGATACACGATACGTTGTAGGTATACATTATACCTGTGCTTGAAATACAAGCACTTATACATGGTATTTGTACTGTTCAAAATTGTATAATAATTGATTGATAAGTTACTATGGTTAATAATGTTATTAATGTTAATATATAGCATCTAGCCAAGTGAAGGATTTTTTTTCAAAATAATTCGAAATGATTAATTAAGAATTCAGTTAGTATAATCTTATAAAAACGAATTTAAGAGTGTTTTAATTTTTTTAACTTTGTTTTAATTTCTTAATGTGTATAATTCTCTATTCAATTATTTACTTTACTTTTATTTAATTTATTTTTTATTGAAAACATTGTAGTTGACGCCATTTTTGGAATAGTTACATAATAAACATACACTTATATTCTGTTACACCGATGTTAAATGTTACAACAAAAATTTAAAAATTTAACAGCTCCCAAACTTTGGATTTTTTTAATTTATTCCAATAATGAGCCAACCAATTAGAAAATTTCACCAACTCTGAAGAGCTCAACCCAACTCAGAATCATACCAGCCAGTTCTCACTACCCTGAAAACAACATAACTGAATTTGAGAAACAATTTTCTGGCCATTGTCTCATTCTTGAATCAACATTTTCAACGCTGTAAATATGGAAAAAGAGAAAAGTGCAAATCCTTTAAATGTTTCGCCCAGAATTCTTCGTTCGCTGAAAAACATTTTGCCGCGTAGAATTAAAAGGTTTATTCGTTACAAGGTTCTGCAATTAAAAACTGTCTTCTATATCAGTTTGGTTACGTTTCTGATCAGTATTTCACAAATATTTGGGTTGGCTTTGGAGACATCGCTTTATATCTTACCGGTTATTGGATTCGTGTCATTTAAACCAATCCTAGAAGGGATAGTTAAAAAAAGTTCCCCCAGGGCAGCCCGTGCCTTTGCATTAGTTTTGATAACCGTCATCATCATGTTTAGGTTGTGTGATTGTATGAGTTTTCGCAACGCCGCGCTACTGACAGTGCACATTTCTATCATAAGCTCCATCTCGCTGGCCAAGCAGCTAACTCCGACAGCTGTAATTGTCTGGCTAGCGTACATCATAACCTCCAGCCTTGCCTTCGTCGTCTGCGTTTTGAATTATTACGATCGCAATTATATAGCTAGAAGACGTTGGGCAAAATCTGATGAAAAACTTTCGTTTTCAGAAATTCTTAATAACATCCTTGGTGAAAAATTTATTGAAGATGTTATCGATGCTGCGACTGAGAAATTAGCTCGTAGTAACGCCATTTATGGAGTTGGTGATGATGACGATGTTGATGATTATGTTCTTGATGATGATTACGTACTTGACGAAAAAAATGATCATGTTTTCAATAGCGATAACATGGAGGACATGGAGGACATGCGTTGGCATTCATCATGATCATGATGATGGTGGTGAGGGTGGCAATGTTATGATGATGATGATGATGGTGACGACGATGATGATGACAGTGCGATTTTGATGGTAATGATATTGGTGTTGAAACGTTTTTAATTTGTTTATTTTTTGGAAAGTTTTGTTTAAATTGATGTAACAGAAGTTTGGGATTTTAGATTTTTGTCTTGATTAAACAATGTTTCAAAATTTTTCAATCGGCATTAGTGCAAAAAAAAAAATAAATTCACAAGTGATTTTTAAAAAATATTTTAATATTTTTTACAAAATTTACATCTAATTTCAATTGTTAATAATTTCAATTTCATAATTTCAAAAAAATTGTTCAATTTTATAAATTTCTATTAATAACCTATTGCTATGGGCTGATGAATTTGAATTTGTTGTACTTATTCTGCACATTAAACGTTTCTTAACACGTTTTTTGGGGAGTTTTTGTTGACTGCTTATTCTTCTAGTGTTTAATAACATACTTTATTATGCCAGTATGTAAAAACACCACAATAGATTTAATTAAACGCATCGATTAAACGTTGATAAAACATTTGAAAATTTTGGCAAGTAGGATCATAAATGGCGACAACAACAATTAAAGCAAACATTTATTGAAAACTAGAGCTACCTGCTGTTGTCTGTCCTACCTATTAATTTTTGAATAAATGTTTTCTCGTTAGTTAGATAACGCAATGAAAAAAAAAATGGAAAAATGTTTCATGGTATTTTTGGCAAATCACGCAAAAAGTAATTAAATTCTTTGAAATAGCTTTTCAGAGTCAGCATTTAGGAAGGAAGACTTTAAAGTTGGAAAATTTCGGTTGGGTTTAATGCTAAACTTGAATCTTTCTATAAATTTAAATACAAAACTGTCACCCAGCTAGTAACGTTTGGCAAAATTGTTGTACCAAAGACACTAGTTTGAAGAATGAAAATTGCAAAATAGATAAGAGAAAAACCATAAAATGTTAGAAAGACTTATGTCCACGTGTATCGTTAATTAATCAAAACGCCTGAGGACAATATACTTAACGCAGTGTATAAAAAATTCTTTCATTCACTAAGTCTTAGTACAAAAAATTTCATTAGAAACATGTTCAGGCAAGTTTATTTTGTACGGCGAATTTTTATTCCACATTGTATTGAAGCGTGGAAGCGTCTTCATTTGTTCAAAGCATTCGAATCTGGTTTCTTTGGCAAACATGTGATTAACTGGTTTGAAATTATTTTATTTAAAATAAAATTTATAGTTTTTTACCTGTTATTTTTACGCTTAAGCGCGCAAACGTTCCTTTCATTTAAAATCTGCCAACGTCGTTTTATAAAAATAATGGTAGAAAATATTTGACAAATGAACAAAATTTAAAAAAAAAATTTTTAAACGATATTGTGTATGTATAAAACTGTTTAATCGTGCCGTTCATCATATATACCTAAAATTTCGTCGAACAACATAATATAATAACAAATTTACCAAATTCTAATCGGAATTAGTAATATATTAAATTTAACGAAATTAATTCATTGAATATAAGTATTTGAGAAATGATTCCTGTGAGATTAGCCAGAAATATGTTACTGTTTAGAGTCTATATTTCTTTTGTGATTGTGGATTTGAGTGAGCAGGCTGTTCGGATGACATCAAAGAAATTTTATCCAACCTACAGCTGCTTGCTAGACAGGAATAAAAAACTTCCTGTTTGCTTCGACGACCAAATGCCAATCACGAAGAAAACTCAGGCAAGAAGTTTGAAGGAATGCATCCTGAAATGCATGGTGTGACTTTAAATCTTTTTTTAAAATTTAGTTTTTAGACCCATAAATAATTAATAGACGATTTTATAAGTTATCAATTTTTACACAATTTTTTTTCAAATAACTAATTAAAATTTGATGTACCTAAGTTGTTGACAGATGAAAAATTGAGAGGAATGAATTACATGCCATCCGGGTCATGCTCCTGCTTCTCAATAGCAAGTCTGCGCTACAACGTTAGCACTAAACTGGTGGCTTCAGGCTGTAGAAGTTACGTTAATCATGGTACGTTGAGAAATTTTTTCACAAATAAATAATTTTTCTAAATTTTCCAAATTTATGACAAATTTGTGATATAGTTAAAGCAATAGTTTTCAAGAATTAAAGACAGATAATGTCTTCTATTTTATTTCATAAAATGCCCTTTAGCTTTTTTTCTAATTACAAATGAAGAATTATACGGTTTCATGTAGTGTTTTTAAAAGAGGCCCTACATTATAACATTGAACTTGCGACAAGCAGCCATACTTACACTTCTACATAAATAAACCTCGCAGATTGCCCTGAAAGATTCGATTACGTAGTAGAGCAGCACAGATGCTACAAAATGCAATTTCAATTGTTGAACTGGTATGACGCAAGATCCTTGTGTAACAGTATATCCCATTCCCATCCCATCAGTATCGATGACGATCAGGAAAACGTTGAATCCTTGGAATACGTCAACATCACCGCTCCCAGTTTGTTCAAATTTTTGTTTCCAAAATTACTCCAAATACATTTCTAAATAATTTTCTTTTATTTTTTAAATTCATCTACTCAAAATTTTACAAAAATTGTTTAGAACTAGAATTTTATATGCCATAAATCAAGTTAAGATGCGTTTTAACAGCTCTTAAAAATGGCAATAAACAATTCAACGAATTCAAGTGTGGACGGACGTCTCAACTAAATTTACGTTTTCATCGTAACTTTACCACGCAGTTTATCACATTATTTCAAATGCAAACATGAACTTTTCAAACCATATGTCATTATTTTCAAGATTATCAGGTATGCCCCATCACTGGCTTTACAGACATCTACGCATTCTACACCAGCGGAATTTCAACCTACTTCAGTGGAGTCAGAACTCCTTTCTTGTGGTTTCCATATCCAGGTGTGAATAATTTGGTGTTTGTTTAAATTTGGTTAATTTATATTATTTCGTTATTTTTTCAAATATTTTTATTGTCTGTATTTTATGTTGATTTCAATTTTGACATGAACAGGGATTTATTTCAAAATTTTCGAATGTACTATAACGATTTTAAGAATCTTCAAAATATAATTGTTACTAAACTTGAAACAACAAACTCATTTGTTTCTCCGTTTAAATATAACTTTTTTAACCATTACAAAATGATATAAAAAAAGGTATTGATGCATTTGATATCACTATTTAGGTATTTACAAGAACGTGCAAAGTACAAGTGCCTGGCATTCAAGTGAACCGAACTCTATAGCCGACGGTTCGGACAACTGCATTCAAAGCATTCTGCTTGGTTACTTTGGTTGGAACGATGCTCCGTGCACCTGGCTCATGTGCGTTCTCTGTGAGTTCGACATGAAAATTTGAAACGCATTTCAACAAACTCGCTCTGGTTCTGATCCTGAAAAAATTGTTTTAATTTTTAGGTTTTTAGAAACTTTCAAACTTTTACGTGTTTTTTATGGAAGTTTTGTGGTTTTTAACATATTACTTTTGTTAGCACAAAAAACTGTCATCTAACATTAGTGAAAAACTAATTTAAACATGATTTTTTTCAAATTTGTTTCTTGAATACAATAAAATTATTGAGTTTGATTAAATTTTTCAAGAGTGTAATGTTATATTTTGTTTTAGTTTTAAAAATATATTTTAATTTTGATATACATTCAGATGTGTCCAAACTTCTTTTGACACCATGACAAACTGTCACAACAACCCCCAATTTATAACGTGTCGCAATTTTTGACAGCTGCACCTTAAAAGTTACGATTTACCTGCTAACATTTGCAATTGTTTCATGCAAATTCCTTAATATTACAAATATTGATTGGTAAATGAAACTCTGTCACCTCTGACGTAGTTGAATATCTAAACAAACACGTACATAACTTCATATATAAATCGGAATAAAGCCTAAAATGCGTTTTTGAAAATATATGACAACAAAATTTTTCTAAATTCACGATAGATAATAAAAAAGAAAAAAATAGGATATCTCCATAAGGCATGATGACATCTTTTACGTTACAGACCCTTCGTACTTTTTCAAATTTACTTTTTATAACGCGAAAACCTATATATATATATATATATATATATATATATATATATATATATATATATATATTTATTCCATATATGTGAAAATAAGTTGAGAAAAATCATGAAACTAATTTTGTTTTAAGAAAAATTTAAATATGAAAAACGCTTATTAATCTTAAACTTCACATATTATACTTCAGATTGTTGTGATCTATGTTTCCGGTGCATTTTGCGTTTTCCATTACTTTGTTCTGCTAAGTTTGTCTTACCTGTTCTGCCATTTTTTTTTCATAATTTTTAGCGCATTTTTCTAAAAATTATTGTTAATTATAATTATTGTTATTAATTGTCACAAATTTAACAATTTATTAAATTAAAAGCTTTTTTAATTTATTTGATATATATTTCAGAATTTGTTCATCCATCCTGATCTGTGTTTTTCAGTGCATCTGTGTACCTACCAACTGTATTGTCTGCCCATCTACATTTAACAGTTAATTCAAAAAATGTTGATAGAATGATGGTCAAGAAAATTTGCAAGGAATATAACTTAGATAAAGGAATATACATTTTTACATTTTAAAAACTAATTCTTAATATTTTATTTGAAATTTTGATGATCTTATAACTTTATTTTTAGTTTGAATCAATTTGTAAATTAATTAGAAAATTCACAAATGACTGATTAATTATTTGTTAGAAAATAAAATATCAATGATATTTTATAATTATAATATAATAATTAACTATGTGACATGATGTTTTAAGATTGTTTTTTTCATATGAACCACTAACAAACAAATGCTGATCACTGGTATTCATCATTATACAATGAACATTGTGCTCCCATCATGGTAATTGATTTTGAACTCCAACTTTGATTTGATTTGATTTGCTAATTATTATAGGTGTTATTGTACAAATTTTGTAGGTTCCTACAGTAAGTTGACTATAGATAAGGAAGTAAATTCATCTAAAAAAAGAAAAATATCTGTTGAAACTGTTGATGGATAATCTTTTAAATAAAAATAATCTTTTTTCCTGCCACCAAAAGTCAATTCTTAAGCCTAAATCTTCTGAAATTCTTCAACAAGAATTAAATAAAACAAGCATTAAAAGTAACAATTCCAATGATTTCAGTGAAAAACAAAACTCTGATGCTCATCAGTTGAAGACTTCACACATTTCTAAAAATTTAGAACACCTATCTTTAACTTCAACTAAAAATACTAAGGAATCAAATAAAAAGAAAACGCCTGAAGAATTTCTTGAAATGCAAACCAAACACATTTGCTCAGAAATGAGTCATCCCTGGTGCACTGATCATTCTTATGCCCTCAAACATAAAGTATCTATTAAAAGAAAATCAGATAGTAGAAGCTATAAGCCAAAAAATTATGAATGTAGTTTAATTAAAATGCAACAAAAGGTTGTGGAAGGAAGTACTTTACTATATAATTCCATCATCCCATCAGATGGCAGCTACAATAGGTTTGAGTTCGCAGTGCCTACCACTGAGGTGTGTCTCATTTATTGAAATTATTATTTTACAGAGATTTCTTAATGATTTCCAACTTATATTTGTTGAAATAAATTTCTGTGGAATCAAAACATGTATAAAATTTTAGGAAAGTGCACACGTTCACTTGAAAACGACCCATCCCTGTTGCACCGATCATTCTTATGACATCAGGCATAGAAGGCCTAATGAAAAAAATGTTGAAAAGGTTTCTAAAACGCCAGTGCATCGTGTCACTTTTCCATTGGAGGAAAATTTCAATGAACTTAAACTTGTTTTGCCTATTCTTAAGGTCTAGTTTATTTGTATGCTATTTTTCTTGATGTATTTCACACTACTTTTTATTAATATTATTATCATCCAATTGTGTTTTTATGAAGAAATAAAAGTTCTCATTATTATTATTATTATTGCTGTTATAGTTCTGGTTGTTACAACACATTTAAAGCAAACACAATATGCCCTCACTTCTTAACTCCAGTAAGGAACTAATAAAATTCATAATTTGAATGTAGGTGCCATTGCACGAACTACCTGAGGATCTTTCATGTTTGCCAAATGATGTGCATGAAATTTGCCTCAACGATGATTTAGATTTACCATACATCAAAACGTCTAAAAGTTTGTTTTCGCTTTTGGTTCCATTGAATTTCTTCTATGTATTGACAGTAGTTAAAATCACTGTCAGAAGGCTTTTAACCAACGTTTCATAATATGCTGGTTTTAACTTTGTTTCTCTTGTAAAAATGAAGTAAATCTGATAATGAACGTCAACGAAACTATATCAACTACTATTCAAAAGATATGCACTGTTTTTACTTATTGATTTGATCCTGACAGCCATACCTTGCTCATCATCAAGTGAAATCCTTCCAATCAAAAACAAAACCTCGTCAAAGCGGCTCAAAAAATTTTACCCAACAGCTCTGGAAAACATCATGGAGAATGAAATTGAAGTGCTGAAGAACCAAACAACAGCTTTTTCTGAAACCCAAATAAAAGTTTGTCGTTGTACAACTGTTATTATTAATGATATGTTAAGTTAATTTCCGCCAAATTTTTATTCGAGCATGAATTTTTCCTCAAAACAATAAAGTTTTTCAAAAGTTCTATATGGCAACATGATTTCATTTGTCAGCGTCTTGCAGCTCACTACTTAAAGGAGTTGCCCAAGAGAAGAATGTATCAAGGAATGAACTTAACTTGTAAGATCTGCAAGAACAAACAATTTAATTCCATTTCATCATTATGCAGTCATTACCGGGATCACGCTGGTCGTTTGCTTCTTTTACAGTTTTCCTAGTTTTTTTTTCTCGGAAAGTTAAATTTTGTTTTTAACAATAGATCTTGCAATGTATACCCAGGCTGTAAACCAAATGTGTGCTTGACCTGCGATGCAGCGTTTACGAGACTGCACAGTCTCAAGTACCACATGCTCGTTCACTACGGCCTCAATCGATTCACTTGCGGTGATTGTGGACATTTGTTCAGGCACGCCGGTCATTATAAGGTCAGTTCAAGAAGGGAATAAAGGTTTTGTTTTCAGTTTGTGTTTGCAGTTACGTTGCTGCTTTCAATAACCTTGTTAACCTTATTTATTTTCTTCAATAATTGTTGTCTCACATATAGAAATATCAATTGGTATTAACGTGATAACTTAATTGTTGTAGAAACATTTACGTGGGCATTTGGAGAAAAAACTCCATCACGGCGGTGAATGTCCTGCAAAGTTCAAAGGTCGAAACACACACAAACAGCATATAAAAGTTAGACGCTGCAAGACAACAGTCTCTGGAGATAGCTTCACTACTAACGAGAACGTTCTTGCAAAATCAAACGAACATGAAGATACAATTTCTGCTAATAATTCCAGTCCTATTAACATTAAAGAGAGCTTCTACGGTACCATAATAAATGGCAGGTTGGTCAGTTCAACTTTTATGCCCTCTAGTGCAGCAGGGAAAAATTTTCTGTCCATTAGCAACAAGGTGAATGTCATAACTCCAGAAATTGATTACCAGTCACCTGCAACACTTGTACCTTTACCATCTACAGCTGAAAAATCGGACTTTGAAATCATGAAAGAAGATTGTGTTAAACAAGAGCCAGTCGACACTGGTTACACTGATTATTGGCCTGGAATATTGCCAGCCCCGACCATTATCAATCCACTTTCCAAAGAACATACAGAAACATATATTAAAGTAAAGGTTAAAGATGAAAATTTAGTTGCACCATCTCTGTTCTCAACATCCTCAACATCATCTTCAAAGTCATCAGCTGTTTCGACGTCAGCAGATTTCATGAGAAACCTACCTACAGAATCCGCAAACTCACCTGGAAAAGCTCCAATCATTTTTTTCAGTGATTTTCCCGCTATAAAACCACGACTCATTATCATTGAACCTGATCACTAAGCGCTAATGTGTTTTACTCCTAAGTGCTCAGGGCTGTTGAGTTTTTATATGAGTATAATGACTAAATTGTTATTTAATAAAAAATTAACGTTTTATTTTAGTTTCAGTTTTCATTGAAAACACTTTTTTTTGAGTTTCAATATTTTCTTTACTGACTTCATTTCATTGCCTGGTCGATTTTTTAGTATTTTTGATAAAAATTTTGATTGAAAATTATTGACGATTTTTAAACCCTATCATTTGTTTTCTAAAAATATTCATTTATTGAACAATGTTAGGTGTGTGTGTGTATGTGTGTGTGTATGTGTAGAGAGAGAGAGAGAGAGAGAGAGAGAGAGAGAGAGAGAGAGAGAGAGAGAGAGAGAGAGAGAGACAACTATATAGTTGCATGTGTGCCTGTCATTGTTTTGTCGTCGTCGTGATAAAATTTGTCTAATAAGGAACGACTTATCACCCTTTGGGGTAATGTCTCTTCATAAACTATCGTGTAGAATCTGTCATTTTGTTTTCCAGTCTTGTTTTGTTTTTCAGTTTGAATTTATTATAATAATAGTATAATTAGTTAAATAATTAATTAATTAATATAATTAATTTCGTCCACAGAATACTTTTTTTACTTGTGACAATTTGATGAATTAATCTTTGCATCTGCATCTTTTAAAGAGAGGCTTATTCAATTTTTAAATGTGGAAATTTACCAATAAAATGATTTATAATTCGACTTTTTGGTTTTATTTTCTAAAATTAGAAATACCGGATGAGACAATTTAAAGTTTGGTCAGGCATGGTTACTTTTACCGACCTGTTGTCTAACATTGTTAATAATTTGTAAACAGTTCTCGTAACATTTGTAAATATTTTTGAAAAATTCAAAATGTAATAGATTCATCTAAAATAGTAGGACAGCTAATAAAAAACGTTTATTTAAAATGTCAATGATAATCATTCTAATTCTAGGTGTTTCATTTAACATAGCATAACGTAACAAAAATCATCATCCAATTTGCAATATTACTTTTTTTAATTAATTTTGATCATCATCCTTGAGTAAGTGGCTACTTTGTAACAGTAGTCAAAAGACGAACCGAAAATTCCATTGACTCGTTGGTAGTAACAACAATGGAACCAGTTTCCAGATCCGTGACTTTTAGCACAGTGGTAGTTTGGGTATGGGTCGTTATCCTGATCTGGAGCGGAGAAATTCATGCCGTTGTGACGATAGTTTGGATCCGGATGGTTCATAATGTCACACTTATCTCCGTTGTATTTGGAAACGTTGACAATGTACTTCTCTATCTCCGAACCAATCTGCGTTAAATTTATTATCTACTACACATTTAGTTGTCTATAGTTAGGTTGCAGATTCAGGAGTCGGTGAATATTTGGTTTCTAGAACCTTAAAGTCTACCTCGTTTAATTATTAATAATTTTTAATTAAGATATTTGCCGGTCAAAACTTATAATAATAAAATTTTAGAAACGTTAAATATTGAGGCTTTAAATACTTTTAAATTACAAACAGTGAAATATTGAGTTTCAAAAATATTTGCAAATAACAAACCTTGAAATGATCATATTCATCAGAGAACCAAGAACCACTGATAAGAATTTCAAATCTCAACCTGTAATCAGCCGAGGTCGTTAATTGGTGCATCTTCTCCAAGCCCAACCAGAAGTTTTTGTGGTATAATCCAAATCCTGACTGTAATGTAATAAAAATTATATAACTATTCCAAAAAAATTCAAAGATTTTTCAATATTACAACGAACATGCTGTGATTTTCATCAATAATTGTAATTTTGACAGTCTTAATCCAATATTACTTTGTAAACATTCCAAATCTGATTGAAACTCTGCGAGCCATCAATCCTCTGCTGAATGACAATCCACCCATTGACAGACGTGACAGGAGTTGAGTTGGCAAACGTTGGAACGTCCAACAAAATCGTTTGATTGGCAGCGCTGTAAGCTATTGTGTGCAATAATCACAATCTTTCGATTATATAAATTAAAAAAATAAATGTATATTGACGTTAAAATTTTCTATTTAAGAGGATGAAAGTTTAAAATATGATGTCACTCACCTTCAGGTTCGGCACAGATGGTCAGCTGCCTCAACCCAGTAAGACACGTAAAGAGGTTGCACGGATTAGCGTAGTTAGGTAGTGAATTGGTACAAGAGTAAAACAATCCACCATTGAAGGTGAATGGAAAGTTGCAAGATTTGCTTGTCGTTAGGAAATTCTTGTTTGCTTTTGGGTAGCAATTTAGTACAATTTAAGGATAAATAAATAATTTTATATTGTTATTATCTTTAACGTTTTTTACTACAGACACCAATGTTATAACTTTAAATATTTTTATATTTCCAACACCAGTGTTGTAGCTTCCAGCGATTCTCTTGTTATCGTTATACCGTTGGTTCAAGATTTTTGATATATGAACACAACTGCTTCAACTTTGAAGAACGCTTATTTGAATTCCAACAGTAATAGAAACATTAAACTAATCCCAGTAACTACATAAATCACAATTACAACTTCTCCTTAACAATATAATGTTTGATAGTGTAATGTGAATTTAATACAAATTTTAAAAAATTCTGTTGAATAACCACCATGGACAAATTTCTTTACATGATAAAATTAACTGATTCAACAATTTACTGATATGTAAAGAAAAATATAAAAATAACTAAAATCGGTGAATTTATTATTTCTGAAACTTCTCATTGTAAGAACTATAATTATTAAACTCACAAATTGGCAGTTGGTAATTCGTGACAGCCGCTGGAAAAATAAAATCAATTTAAAAAATGTAAATGCTATTAATGTTATGAGCTACTGCGAGATGGAAATGTTTAGGCTCCCGTTCAGTGCAGCTCAAAGCCAGCAGTAATAGAAACACTAAACTAACCCCAGTAACTACAGAAATCACAATTACAACTTCTCTCCAACAATATAATGCACATTGATGTAATGAACATCGCAAAGTGAAAATAAAGCAAACGATTGTCAGGCAACTGATTCATTAATGTTTAACCATTATTATCCTACGCTGTGTATGTGTGTATGTTGGGGATATTTCTGAAAAAGAGTACTAAAAAATGTTTGACTAACATAGAGCTCGTCTGGCAGCTATATCCTGTTAGAAAAGTTTAAATAAAATGTAAGAGTAGGCGCATCACTTCACTGATAAATTTTTTGCATATTGAAATGTTGAGCTACAAATTTATTAATTAACATATTGACTAGCCTCGTAAGCCATGCATTCGGATTTATTCAGAGCAATCTTGTAATGAACATCGCAAGTGAAATGAAACAGTTGGCAATACTTAGCTGGATGACTAGCATTGTTGGATACGTAGTTGAATGCGTTGCAAGTGATGTTACCACTAGTGGGAGAAACATAATGAGAACATTTGGAAGAACATTCCAGTGAGGATCGTATGTTGGTTAGTACTGTGGCAGGTTCGGAAGCAAAACACATGGGATTGTCTGGCTCTCCTACCATTCCATACTTCTTGTCAGCCGCTGAAACTAATAAAACAGCTGACAAATACAACATAATGACATCAAACGTCATTTTTATTTAGCTAAAGATTTATAATAAATGTATTTTACAATATCAAATCCTTATTAAATAATGTCGTTTTAAGTTTTATGATTACAAAATTCTATCCAGAGCTCTCAAAAAATATGTTTCTCATCACTCACAAACAACATTAAACAATTTGCTCAAGTTGTTTGATCAAGACAAAATTATGGATCTTAGTGAGTAAAAGTACTGACGTTTTAGACAGATTCCTATATAAGGATTTCAAATGCAAATATAATAATGAATGTCTTACGTCTAACCTATTGTGAATGTTCATTCATCGACTTGACTGGTTTGAAACAAGATCCTATGAGACAATGCACGTTTGGAGCCAGCAGCAATCGACTTCATCATCATTCAACCTCAGGTGAATGTTCACCATTGTCTGGACTGGCACGCAAACGGTTTATCACGATCAACATCAAAGAAATGTCAGTGTAATTTTTTTAAAAAAACTTGAAGTAACAACAATCATAATATGCTTTTGATTTATGCGTTAATATTTTCTTGTGTTTGTAATATTATTTTTTAATTATTCTGATACAAATGACAATTTATATTCATAATTTTTCACTCTATATGGTGTATTTGATGAAATGGTACTTTATAACGACAACAATCTCGCGATATGTTCCACAAAGTATTCATCAGCATGGTCGACAAGTATCCAATTCTTCTTAACTTCAGTTTGATGTAACCAAAATATACCAAAGTTTTTAAAGATAGTTTTATTCTTTGAAGAAAAAAATTTTCTAACAAGTAAATAAATAAATAGATAAATAAATTAGTAATCAATTTTATAACTATACTCACTCGTTTCTTGCTAATCAATATTAAGGAATATTGAAAATAAACCTGATAAACCTTTTAAAAGTTGACAGCAACTTTTGTCAAGAAAACAATCGACAAATACAATTCAAATCAAAAAACATGATTGTGACAAGTGCAAGAGCGCAAATACTCAACTGATTATTTTTCACAAAAATCATTATATGCCAGAAAGCGAAGGAAATTTTTAAATTCTCAAACAACTAGTCATACACACCACACATACACACACACACACACACACACACACACACACACACACACACACACACACACACACACACACAAAACTATTCTAATAATTTGAACAGGTTTGGGAGTGTTATGAAAGTAAAACACAGTTAATAATATATTTACATGTTTTTTGTATGCTTCAATCAAAATTTCAAATCATACATTTTTAAACTAAAACCGGAATATTTAAAGTTCATTGTCTTGCTATTTTAATATTTTGATTTATTTGAAAATACATTTTTTTAATTTTAATTTCTTCACATATATGCTAAAAATGAGATTTTATGATAATTTTTCCTCCTATTACATTCGGGATTCTATTCTGGGTTTTAACACTACAACAAAAGGTATGATGGATACATTTTGGTGTATGATGGATACATTTTGGTGTTTTGAATTGAAAAATATTCATTAAACTTCATTGAAATTTTTCTTAAATTGTAAAATCCGATTCAAAACTGACAGGCCCTATTCCCGACAAAACCCACCAAGGTCCTTTACTAAGTGCCTTCTTCAAGTTCGCATACATAACGATGCATACCCTCATTTGTACCTTTGGATCTATTCTCCTATTTTTCCAGTAAAAAAAATTATACTTTAATTAATTTTTTTTTAAATTTTTCAAATAATCATCGTTAAAATATTTACCAGATTTTGCGGATGCATCCTGAACCACCTAAGGAGATATAGAATGGCGAGTGTCGATGGCGACAATCAGTTACGAGAAGATATGGCGATGGAAGATGTAGAAGCAGATACTGATGATAACGAGTCGGATTCTTCCCAAGATGCGAATGAAAACGTGATGCCAACTGATTATGTTCGCGGACCGCCAATAAACATAAATATAAACCAAAATTCAGCAGGAGTTGATGATCAATCGCGAAACGCCAACAGAAGCGAAAATATAGACATTAGAAGACGTGAGGCAAGTAACACAGATGGTGTGTCAGATCAGAATGAGTTATCATCTGCTGCCAGTAAGTCAGATGGTATGAATGAAGGTATGTCAGATCAGAATGAGTCATCTTCTGCTTCGAGGAATGAAAACAGAAAGGAAAACATGATGCAATCAAGTAAAGACCAAATGCCAAATACAGGTACAAACAATTTCAGGACAAGAATTCAATCAAATAGTAGAGGGAAGAAAGTGAGAAAAGTCTCAGGCTGATTCAAGCTGGTTGATTCTGATCTTCTTTGCATACGAACTAAACGTACGATTCAAATAAGATTATTTCACAGCAGTTAGCTAATGATTCGAGAGATACAAATAATATTGTAAGGTTAAGCACGATGGCTAATATAGCTACTGATTTATGTTGGTTATATCGAAAAGTTTCTCAATTTATAATGAAAAAGATTATAATTTTTTTGGTTTTATTGATTATTTACTTTTTTTTCAACAAATTTATATTGAATGTTTGAAAATAGGATTCTTAGCAGAATCGTATCGTTTCATTTTATATTTCTCCCATGCGATTCGAATTTTATGTAACTAACTTCATATCTTCATACAGAGGGTTGGCTTCTGCCGATGGATGCAATTTTTTTTAAATACGATAGAAATTTAACTGAACAGTTTTTATAGTAGGTTTTTTGTCGATTCGCTATTTTGCGAAATTAAATTTATGGACAAATTTTTTTTCTAATTTGGATTATCACCCATTTTGTCTTTTTCTCTGGTTGTATGATTTGTTTTATTATTTTATATTTGCATGTATCTCTATGTTCGCCGATTTTAAACTTTTTTTAGGACTATTACTTGAGAATCTATTAAAAAATTAATTTTTGTCATTTTTACTACTTCGAAGATTTAACAAAATCATATTATAGAATTAAACTGTTTAAAATAAAAGTTTTAGCAGCAAAAATAAAAAAACAAATAAGTGATATTTGTCATTTCTGAAGCTTCATGGCTTAAAAAACTAAAAATCCATAAAAAATAATGTCCATGAGAATGAATTGCTGTCACTTAGTCACTAAAGAGGTATGACAGTTCCCTCGCTATGAGGATGCTTTGTTGAACTTTGTGGTTCTTAGTTTGAATTACTGAAAACAACGAAATGTTTAATAACTCTCTAAAATTCACAACACAAAACATCCGTATGATAAATGCTTAAATAACGTTGGAAGCAGTGGTGCAGCTAGACGTCTGGCACATTCAAAAGTCAGAGCAGGAAAATTTATTGTGTTGACATGACTACTCCTTACAACTGAGTGATAGCGAGTTTTGTTTCGGCGGAAAAATTTGATGACTGACGACAAGTTTGGGCTTGGCCCAGACAATGAAAATTTTAAAAATGCATACAAATTTCTGACTTAAAAACAATTTTTTCTAGTTATTATTATAGCATTTTTACGCCTTGTCAATTTTGTGGTTAAAAAACAAAGAAAAATAGTTGAATTAGTGCATTCATTCGTGAATTAAAAATTCTCTAATTGAAGACGCTGCCACGCAAGAAGAGTTTACGCTTCACGCTTCAGTTTTCATGAGTATAATAATACAAATGTTAATCTTCAAGAGTTATTTTTATAATCGAAAAACGACCATCACCATCAACGTAGCAAATATTAAAATTTCAAAATTTGTAAGAACATCACTAAATTGAGAATTTAAAAAAATGCAGCATGTTTTCATTGTCTGTTCGTGCATTCTCTTTGCATTCACATTCAGCAGGTTCACTTCTGTACTCGAAAAAACATACCAAATGATAGGTGACCTGGATAATCCGAAATGTTTTCTTTCCAAACCTAACAAAATGTTATCAAACATTCGATCAATACTGGAATGCTCTACAAAATGTTCTCGTAATGTATCTTCAAGTGGCAAAGAGACAGCCTGCAACGCCTTCAACTATATATTTAATAACGCAAGCAATTTGGACAACTATTGTCATCTCTTTAATTTCAGTAGTGAATCTCAATACGAAAATGTTACTATTTCTACCTTGTGTCAGGCCTATGAGGTTATACGTTCAAAAGATTTTATTTGAAACATTATTTGAAATTTGTTTAACGTTTAATTTGACGGTTTTTGAAATTTTCATTTTACTAACAATATTACATGTTAAATCATTAAAATAAAATGCCAGGACGTCGAAGTTAGAAAAGAAATTTGTAAGTTTGAAAGATTATCAAATATATTTAACAATTTTATTTTTCTCTAAAAATTATTCCGTTCATTAAAACATTGGTTACATTTTGTTGTTGGAGCAACAGTTTATTTTTATTTTACACGATTTTCAAAAGGCTAGATTTTTTTTACAATCATTTCAAGTAGTTTCAGCAAAGTAGTTGGCGATTTGAAAAGTCGAATTTTCAACCAAAGGGTGAATTTCCAATCGAATTTCCAAATTATTTTTTTCCAAAATTAGTTGGCGACCGGGGGAATTTTAAATAATTTATGACCAAGGAGGAGATCCGGCTACTGAGTGTACCCACATTAAAATATCATTACATTTTTTAATCATTTAATTTCACTAAAACTAACATCATTAAAATCGAATGCTTCAAACATTTTAAATGAAATCCAATTCACGAATTGAATAAATCAAAATAAAAGCAAGAAATCCGAACCTGACGCTGAGTAAGTTTTGCAAGTTCCCCTTCACCTACAAGGGCGGCCTATTTTATTCTTGCTCCAATGCACTACCCACCTTGGAACTCGCTCCTGATCAGTACATGTGCATCATCGGTAAAAGACAACTGGCTACCTGCATTGACCCGGAAGGTAAAAATTGAAGTATACTATCTGTAAATAAGAAATAATACGTTTTAATTATGTAAAATGGCTGAAAAGAACGCATGTTCAAATGGAATCAACTCCAATTATTGAACTTGTCAAGGTTTTAGTGCCGTGAACGATACAATTCAAATGAGTGTTCCAACGTTCGCTAATAACACCCTCGTGACGTCAGTTAATGGATGGATTGTCATTCAGCAGAGGGTCGATGGATCGCAAGATTTCAATCTGCCTTGGAATGATTATAAAGTAAATGAAAATGCCTGTAAACTTGGTAAATTTTTTTACAAAACGAATGTCAAAAACAGTCAGGCTTTGGAGTTTTCGATAAAAACTTTTGGTTGGGCTTGGAGAAGATGCACAAGTTAACGACATCGGCTGATTACAGGTTGAGATTTGAAGTTCTAATGGCTAGCGGTTGGGTCTCCGATGAGTATGATCATTTCAAGGTTTGTTACTTTGTCAAATGCTGACAGTTGCATTCAAATTGAAGTTTTAACTTATGATATTCAAATTACTTTAATTTAGTTTGGACGTAAAAATCTGTAGTTTCAATTTTAGTAATCCGTTTGGTATGAATGAATTGATAAATACCTATAGTACATACATTAATATGGTGAGCGCTGTCCGACTGTTACCTCATTCATCTTCTAATGTTTTCTGTTGTTAAGAGTAATTTTTGTATTCATCATTCTTTGTATTCATGCTAAGGACGTGTTATATGTGTTTATCAGACAATTATAATTATTTCTTTGTTTGAAATGAAAAATATTTATACTTCTTGTTATAAAGATTACCTTTATAGTTAATTAACATTTGGGACGTGAGTCAAGCTATTTTCGGCATTCTGTAATAAAACCTTGAAAAATCTTGAAAAGCTATCTAGAAAAATTATCTCTACATTGTAGGTCAACTCCGAACTTCAGATGTATTCCCTGGTCGTGTTTGGCTACAGCGGTGACAATGAAGATGTTCTGAACAGTCCTTACAATGCTCTCATGATTCAGAATGGAATGCAATTTACAACATTTGATAAGGATAACGACCTTGCACCAACAGAAAACTGCGCTGCTGGGTCTTATGGTGGAAATTGGTATAAAAATTGTTATTTGATAAATCTGAATGGGGTTTATGGTTCGTCATTGTATTATTTTAAAGTTTCTAAAAATGTTCCTGTCATATATTGCAGGATGATGATAAAGCTAAACATTTAAGTTATAATAATTGTTATTTTACATATATTTTTCTTTATTTTATCTTAGCATTTTTCTTTTTAAATCTGTTTCTCCTCACTTATAGACATATTTTGAATCTTTAAAATTATGCATTTTAAAAATTTTCATTTTAATTTCTTTTCAATTTTTTTTGACACAATTTTTAATGATTTGTTAAACCTTTTTCAAAATGTTTCAACTTTTCTCTCATAAGTTGAATAAAAATTGTCAAACGTAATAGAAAAATCTTTAGGAATAACGAAATAATGAAAGATTTGCAAAATAATTTAAATTAATTCTCAGGACAAAATAGAATAAAGTCCAGACAACATCGATGTAATATCATATTATGGTTATTTTAATTGATTTGAAAACATTTCAAGTTGCAACCAGGGAGTATTTGTGTGTGTGCATGCGTTCGTGAGTTCATCTGTGTGTGTATGTGTATATATATATATATGTGTGTGTGTGTGTGTGTGTGTGTGTGTGTGTGTGTGGATCACAAGACGTAGGAGTTTACAAAATGGAAAAAATAAAAAATAAAATATGTGAGAAAATATTCTAATGATCTATTTTCAGGTTTCACTAACTACCACGGCAATGAATACAAAGTCGAAAAATTCAGACAATTCAGAGCGGAATAGCTAACCACATATCACTCAAATGAAATGAAATTAAATAAATTCTTGGACATGACTTCAGTATTTATGACATATACACAATTCTAGATTCTACTATCCAAATGCACGCACAAGAAAAAAATTACCAAAATGCTAAATTGTAATAAGTACCTACGTGACATTCTTAACATTACAAAATGACATCAATAAAGTTATCAGCAATATAGGTAACATCAATTACACCATTAACAATATATATATATATAACATTAATTATTTTAGTAACAAGGGTAAAGATAATGTAAGGCAATTTATTTCAGGCATGACTTTAAAATAGGAACTTGGCGCGGGCTTATCTCAAGTGAATTGCTGTGATAAAAGTAATGTTTTTTAAGAGTAAATATTTTGCACGAAAAGTCGAAATCACTGGTGTCTGTGTTAAACATAATCAACTTAATCACAATTCAATACAAATAATATTCATTTTTGAATGTTTACAAAAGCATTGGATGCACGGAACAGAACTAAGCAAAAACAACTTCGTGATATAATCTAAATAGAATTTTAACAATTAATTTGAAAATCAATTTTTAAATATTTACAATAAATTTTTAAACAATGCAATACAGTTAATGCAATACAGTTAATGCAATGCCAACTGTCTGTTGGTAACATAACTCTGTGGTGTTTTAAACAATAAGATTTTTTTAAATTCACGTATATCGTAGACACGCAAAATTTGAAAAAACTGCGAACTTAAACTAACATGTGTTAAATATGATATTGGAAATAAACAACAACAAAAAACAATATAATCGCAGATAGAAATTACGAAACATCAAACGGTACTGGCCGTCATCACGTCAAATACTCAAACAACTGCGCTTTGTTCTGCAAGGACAGCGTGGCCACAAACAGGCGAGATCTTCCACCACTGACCGATGCATCTTCATCGAGGATGACGTTGTATGGGGCATTGATGTTGGTGACCACATGTTCAATGAAGTAGCCATCGCCGCTAAACTTGCTTACCCTCTTGTTGCCTGCATCAGCAACAAACACCTGACCATTCTCGTCCACGCTGACACCTTTGGGCCATTGTAAGTGGCCACTATCGTCGCTTCCTCGGCCTCCAAAATGACCGATGCACCGCGATTGTCTTGTATCAAATGCCACAACTCGGTGATTTCCGGAATCGCTGATGAGTAATTGCTGAAAATTTCTGTCCCATGTAGCAAATTCTGCCATGCATATTTGACCTTCGTCCGATCCGTACGTACCGAAATGACGCGTTTCCTTTGATGTCGTCAAGTCGTACAGTCGAACTGAGGACATGTTGCGATCGAGAACGGCCAGTTGTTGCCCATGCGAGCAGTCGTCCACAAGGGTCAGTGCGCAAATCCAGTTGAATAGGCCGTGTCGCCATTGGTCGAATGTACTGCTGAAACCATTCTTGTTTTCGTAATGGCTGTGCTTGTAAATAAGCACTGTTTTGCGAACGCGATCTGCTACGAAGAATTTATTGTGCTGCTTCGAATACGCAATGCCGAAGGGTTTGATAAAATACGCTTTCATTTCAAATTTTAACCTGTAATCATAATTATTATCATCAACGTTGATGTTTTTGAAACCTAGGTTGTCAATCTTTTTTATAATTTTTCCTTTCTTTTCATAAACGAGCCCACAACCGTAATCAGCAATTGCGATTCGATCCGCTGGCAACTGACACATTCCTGTCGGTATGCAAAACTCGGCGTTGTACTCACAAACCAGCTTGCCTGTGCCTTTGTTATCTGAAGTAGTCTTGTATTTTGGATGGTCGCTTCTTATGTTCTTTTCGTGCTTTCGCTTGTCAAAAACATAAAAACTGTCGGATTTCATTGAAGACTTGAAACTATTTTCAGAGTTGTTACTGCTGCTAGTTTTACGCCATCCATTGTTGTTTGTGTTGGTTCTTTCTAAATTTTCATAATTCCAATTTCCGTTAAACATGTTAGTTTTAATATTTGAATGTTTAGCGTGTTTCGTAAATCCATCATTTCTAGTTGGCGATTCGTCAACGACGTTCAAATTCGGTGACGAGTAAAACTCATAATTGTTTGCAAAGTGACTCGGATCAGACCTGTATCTATATGCAAACATTCGAGTTCTGGTCGGTCGTTTCCTGTAATAGCCAAACGTTTCGGAGTCTTTTAGGCTGCTCTGTCGATACTTCTCGTTCGGGTTGCTGCTTTTGGTTTTAAAGTCTGACGAGAATTTGTTATTTATGTTAAAGTTAATTTTTCCATCGTTGTAATTATTGCTCTCAAAAGAAAATTTATTTTTATGCTCTCCTAAAACGCTGCCGTTGGACTTGGAAGCGCCATTGTTCGAATCGTTCAAATTCTTAGACGAAGATATTGAGGAGTAGATCTTATCAAAACTCTCTGTACTAAAGGATGGATCTCTTTTTATTTTGTCTCTCAGACTGAAACATCTTCTGGTTGTTGGAACGTACTGTCGTGGCTGATGATGGCTCTTGTCAAAAGTTGTGAACGAAAATGAGGTGAAACGTTTTGATTTGTTGTCGGAGGAGTTGTCTGTTGTTGATGTTGTTGCAGAGATAGTTGTTGGTGCTGGATTAATCGTGGAGTGTTTGCCATCATTCATTTCATCGTTGCTGGTCGTGTGGGTTTCATTGCTTGCGTTTTTTAAACAGTTATCGGTATAAACAGTTGTATCGGTTTCCTTATCAACGCTGCTATGTAGAGTTGAGTTGTTCTTGTTTAATATGTTTGTGGAAATGTTGTCTCTCATGTTGTTGACGTCTTTGTGGATGCTGAAGTCACTTTTCTCGCTACTGGTGTCGCTGTATTCTGCTGTCAGTTTCAGGTTGCTTTTGATGTTTCGAAAGTTTTTCCTAGATCTTCTATTTCTTTCAAATTGTTGACAACTTTCAAAATCAGTTGATGAACCGTGCTGTTGGCCTTGTGGATCTTTGTTGATGTCGTCAGCAATTATTTCCTCATTTATTTTTGCATCATCGACAATATTGTCGGTGTTTTTTTTAGAAATGAAATTTGGGAACGAAAACCTATTTGAATAATTGTCACTAAAATTGTGGCACTCTCTCTTGACGTTGTTGTATTTTTCACCGTCGATATGCTGTCTATTTTCAGCACTTTCGTCTTCCTCTACCAAAGAAACATTAGCGCTATTGATGAGGTTTCCAGACGAATTGCTTTCGTGTGACGTCACAAACTGCTGGTGGTTGATGTTTTCTATTGTATCCATGTTACCTGTTTTAGTTGATTTTTACAAATAATAATCACCGTAAAATTCCAGGTTTTAGATGACGATACTGATGATGATGACGATGATGATGACGATGATGATGATGATGATGATGACGATGATGATGATGATGATGAATCTGCCGACATGAAGATGAACGGCAATGCAATTAACGACGATGGGGATGACAAAACATGATTATGATGGTTTTTAATAATAAAATAATAATAATTATAATCATAATAATAATTATTATAATGATGATGAACCTGTAGTTCTTCGACGATATTTCTTTAAAAGAATTTTTGACATTTCTTCTACTGCCATCTTTGGAAAAATAAAATCAATATCAGTCGACAAATTTTTCATTTATTAAAGACTCCAATCACCTTTGCAGTTACTTTATAAACTAAATCTATCCGCCAACAACACTGACGTTATCTTTCTCCATAAACATCCACAATTTCACAACTATAACCTTCTTGACATCTTCAGCGGAATCGGCATCTGGGAAGGCAGCCACACCGGCCGCAGGTACACAGACCAGCGTGTGGCAGACTGGACAGCAGATGTAACTGGCTGACCGACGAAGTAGTACAGTAGATCTGTTGGTGAGATTTCATGGTCAATTAAGTTAATTACTCTAATTTTTTAATTTTTGACATTTTAAATGATTTGATTTTAAAACTTCATCTCTCTTGAGTATGTAGAATTAACAATAACAGCGCTAATAAGACAAAACCGTAGCAGTTGCAGTAATACTTTTATTTCTAGCACTACTCCAGCAAACTCAAAATTCATAAAATGAAATGTGTTTTTGAGAACGTCGATTGTAACGATGTTGTTAATTATAACATCAGAAAGCAGCCAGCATGAAAAAACATTCGGTCAGTCAGGCATGTACCTGTATCTATTGAAGACTCCTCCCCCACAATAGTTGTCGAAGATGACTTGCAGACACGGCAAACAGAAAACATGTTTGCAGGGCAAACTTCGAGGATTTGTAAAACTTTTGAGACAGTGTGGACACTTCAGTCTGTTGATCACTTTGTCTACCGCGTGTTCCAATGTCGTTTCCATTGCCTGGATGGACATTGAATAATTTCCTTACAATTTTCTTTAAGACACAGTTTTCCTCATAATCTGGATGATTAATGAATATTTGTTTGCATTACAATTTTTTTTTCAATGTTTCACAGAGGTATAAACAATCAACAACAGACACATGACGGGGATAAATAGGCGTCATTCCAAACATCAGACACATGGCATGTAGTTTGTTTCCATTATAATTCAATGGCAACTTGATAAACCAACGTAGGTAGATCTATCTTGAATTTTATTTGAATATTTAGTATATATACTTCGGTTTAATTATTGAAATTTATTCAGATGGCACACACACACACGCACATATGAATAGTAAGCTTAATATAACCTCATTACTACGCTTTATACCTGGTGATTAATTATGTTGATACACATAACAAACACGTAGCATACATAACATACGTGTGATTCACCATGCAAATGTATTATGTTTTTATTATGTATCGCTAAATATTATATATATATTTTTATGTGTGTGTGTGTGTGTGTGTGTGTGTGTGTGTGTGTGTGGGTTTGTGATAAATTTATAATGAAAATATGAGAAAATTGTATAACAATGATTTCATTGTTATACAATCTCAAATCGAGTTTCTGTAAACCGCAAATTTCCATTTTAAAAACTTGATACTGGTGAATTTATTATTATTATAAATTATTTATTTTTAGCTACTGCTTTATCGATTTTCATTGCGATAACGTTGAGTCAGGTAATTAGAAGTGAAAGTACATCTTGTTTAAATGTATCAGCAGTTTGAGTTTGCAATATTGTGTGGCATAATGTTGTTTTGCATGTGTTAATTTGGTAATTTTCGGCCGTGTATAGCACTTGGTTTTAAAAAAAAATTTGATTTTCTTCGCTCATAAAACAATTTATGATTGGTTTTCATATTTCACATCAAAATAAAGTATTTTTTCAAAAAAATTTGACAACTTTTACAAATTTTCTTAAGGTGTATCAAAATTCAAAATCATAATTTAAAAAGAAATTGTTTACCGTAATCTTAACAAACACATTTAACTGAATGGGACTAGAGTCCAAAACCTACCACTCATCTTAGGCTTAGGTATATTATTAAAAAATTTTGTATTGTTTTGAATTTTTATGATTGTCCTCTTACAATCAATCTTCGTTATATTCTTTTTATTTATTTATTTAACAACTGACCAGAGGGCATCAAGATGCCTCTTACACAGTCAGAAAAAATGAACTAAATTCAACATAAATGGCAGAACAGAAATAAAAAGAAAATGTTCTATTAAAAAAGATAGATACCGCATGTCATCATTTCAATATGTCAACATTAATTCAGATAAAACCATTAAAAACCACTAAACTAACAGAACAACCAACGTTTCGCTTCAGTCTGTCGGTTCATCTTATCGTAAAACATTCACTGCATATCTGACGATGATTATTTGAGTCTGCGCATACGATTAACGAACGCAGTAGACAGGCTAATTTAAATAACAAAAACAGTTTCATGTCGTTTAAATTTACGCCGGAGTATATATACATTTGTCGGATCTACAACGAGTGGCATTGTTTTGGTCAAGGTTACATTATTGTCATTATTATTATAATTAATATTAAAACTTGTCTTTTTACTAATTTTATTAAATATTTTATTTTTAACCTTGTTGTTATTGTTGTATTATATATTCTCGTTAATTTTTCTATCATTGTATTCTTTACTAAAGGGGTGGGCAAACTTTTTGCAGTGAGGGCCGCATTGAAAACTATTTTACCTTTGAAGGGCGGCATTTGTACTTAAATGGCAAATATTTTTGACCCCTGCCATACTACATGCTCAATTATTAATCTTCCAAACAATTGGAATTATACAAAAGGTCACAATTCGTTAAGCATGACCTTCATTCTAAACTGTCTACGAAACGAAACAAAAATAAACGAGGCAAAACGAAACGAGACAAAGCGAAATATTATTTGGCAACAAAAATCATATAAAAATTAAAATTTATTGAGTGTGACCCCAAATATAGATACGACATTTGTACCTTTTTCTACGTTATCGGCAGTACGTATTTTTCTTTCTGTTGATAAAATTTCGCTGATTATAATTATAGCAACATAATAATTCAAACTTTGGTGTCCATCTACTAACAGCAGAAGGTTAAAGCTCCTTTTCTAAACTTCCTGAAATAAAATTGCCGAATTAAACATATTGATAAGCCGACATCATTAGCGTTTGACAATCATTGACTCAGCATTGTTTTAGTGTAATATTTGGTTGCTTATAAGCCTCGAAACTTTAGATAATCCATTATAAACATAACATAAAATTGTTACTCAAAATATAATCTAAAAACCAACAATAGTATTATTTCTTGTTTAACGAACCAAGTTACGTGTATCGTTGAATTGAAATTTCAAAGGTCAAGTGGTTGAACAAGCACTTCTATGATATAATATTACTAATTATTGTCGTTAAACTGAATGTCGACGTAATATCAATCGTGGTGATGTGAAAAAATGATTTATGATAAATATGTTTACGACGACTAATGATGATTAATATATAATTTTCATACCTTATTAAAAGTTTTTTCAGTGAGAATTCTGCTAAATATATTTTTTTAAAAGTTACATTTGATAACTTTTCAAAAGCGAGACATCAATGGCATTGCTTAAATATCAATCTAACAGTCTTTACGTCTATAAAAAATAAATTTTATAAAATATTATGACATATTATAACAGTTTCACATAACAATTATTTCGAAATTTTATTTTCAATAAGACTATATTTCCATAGAGTAGGGGTGGGCAAACTTTTTGCTGTGAGGGCCGCATTGAGAACTATTTTACCTTTGAAGGGCCGCATATGCACTTAAATTGCAAATATTTTCGACCCGGAGAAAAATTTTATTAAGATTTGTGACTCCTTTTTTGGTCATAATGTCTGACTGACGACCTCGCGAACAAGACCTCGCAATTGATATGTTATTATTATTATTGTTGTTAGGTATATTTACATAGCGGTTTTTAAATCATTTTCCAAAAGGACAACGTGTGTGTGTTGTGTATACGCGCGCGTATTTTGTGTGTGCGCGCGTATGTGTGTGTCTATGTGTGTGTGTGTGGTGTGTGTGTGTGTGTGTGTGTAAAAAAACTAACCTGTTATTTAGGAAATAAGATGTTTATGTATGTGCAGATCTGTAGGTAGGTCGGTATCAGAGTAAATAATATAAGTACAAAATGACTTTTGTACTGTTAATGATACATCTTCATTCCAAATTCAACATCCAAAGGAGAACCGTTGTAAAGTATCGGGGATTATTATTGTTATTATTATTGCTATTGTTATTATTATTATCTGTTATTCTATATCTTTATTAATTTTCACTAATTAATTAATTTTCACTTAAATAATTTTAATTATCGCTAACGAAAAAAACAGTAATTTAGTTTCAAGTAAACAGGCAGATCTAGTGGCCTTTGAGATTAATTAATTAATTAATTCATTCATTCATTCATTCATTAACAGCATAATTTAGTATTATAACTATTATTATTATCTGTAGTTTATTTAAAATATTTTATTGATTGTGTCATTCAACAATTAGTTAAATAAATAAGCAACAAAATAGAGCTTCTTTAAAAACGTTGTTAAAAAGTAGAGAGGTAAGATTTTCTTTAGTAATTTAATTATTCACTGTTTATTATTTTGTTAATTATATTTGAAATGACATAATAGACGCTGATATTATTAGATATTTATAGTTAATTTATTAACTCTTTAGAAGTCAGAATTAAAAAAATACAATTACTAAATCTTTTAAACTAAATTGAAAATTATTTTCCCCCAAAATCGATCGAAAAAAAGTTAAGAAAGAGTAAGCGAGCCAGAAAACCTATTAATCGAAAATTTAAATGCAACTCTTATCGTTGAACTATGTACCTCCCTAATCAAAACAGTCGAAATGTATACAATACACATATCAACGTCCAATGTATTTTCATTATATATACCATGCATGCCAGTATACAATACACACACACACACACACACACACACACACACACACACACACACACACACACACACACACACACACACACACACACACACACACACACGCACGCACATATATACAACTGTATATCATCTATGTATATACACACTATGTTTATACACGGATATATACAATGGAAACATACACACATTCAATAACATACTCTAACAAATTTGTTGGTGTTGAATACACGATGTATGTACACACATACATGGCCATGTAGATGCCTTCGATAATAAATAAATGTGTTCAATATAGTTTAGAGTTTTAGACGTAAGTTTACCCTATGTGTTATTGTGTATTTATGTGTGTTTATCTGTCTTTGTGTCTCTGTTTACATTTGTATATGTGTCTATACAAAACTTATGTGTTATACGCATCTTACGTATCAGTATTCCTATTAGTACCTGGAGGGTTCAAATTGAGAATTTTTTTACTTATATACACACAAATAAACAAAATCAGGATGATGAGAATGAAGACAACGATGATGATGTCATTACTTATGTGAAGTGGAAAAATGTTTAGTTCATGTGAAGATGGTATTATAAATATGACGATGGTGATGAAGATGGCGATAATGATGAATAATTATTTCGATGACATTTATGATGAAGAGGAGGAAGAAGATGATGACCAGAAAGAAGATGATGATTGGAAAGATGAAGATGACGACAAGGATGATGATGTTTCTCATCACCTTTTACTTTGTAAACCAGGTGTTCGCCGATCGATTGACAACAGGTGAGTTAAGATGATGACGATGATGAAGACGACGATGAAGATGATGACAATGAAGATGGTGGTTAATCTGATAAAGATGAATATGCTTAATAGAGATATAGCATGTTGTTACAAAATCTGCTTCTATATTGTTCGTGTTTATCATATTATAGCTTAGACGATTTTACTTTAGATGAGGTTAACTCAATTTACTTGTAATACAACAATATAATTAAATTTTGCATTTTAACTTTAAATAAATTGTTAAAAAAAGTATATACAAGGATTTATATAGTTTGTGTCAAGTATTCATGTAATTCAGTGACATTAACAATGTGAAGTTAACAGAGAAAGGACAATATTAACAGTTATAACAAATTTCTGGAATTTAGTTTTAAACATGGTGTTCAGTGATAAATTTTCGTAAAGACTGTCATAATTTTTATCTTCATCATCATCGTCGTCGTTGTCGTCGTCACCATTTTCACCATTTTCATTTCTGAATGGCACCCTACCGTTTCGTTCTTCTCTGAAATCTGGCGAATAAAATTTTTTCCGGCAAACACCACGATTAGAGAATATTAAATCATAGAATTAAATTAAAAATATTAAATCATCAAATTAAATTAAAAATATTAAATCATAATATTAAATTAAAAATATTAAATCATAAAAATCAAAATATTATACAGTTTAAATAAAATTAATAAAAAATGATTTTGACCAAGACTTTATTTACCTAACATATTTTAAAAAAAGAGCAATAACATGTATGTTCACCCGAAATTTAATTTGTTTTTCTTTTTCTTTTTTGTTTTGTTTATCTATCTTAAGTTGTTTCGGCGTGTTTTTTTTATTTTCGAAAAAATATTTAAACAGACTTTTTTTATTATCTGTATCCTATTTTTGGAGTTCATTCTTTTGATCTCTTAATATATTCACTTTTCTCATGCTATACAATTTAATAGTGAATTAGTCACATGAAATATTTTTTAAATCGACAAAATGAAGCTATGTGTGAGGCGAGACCAAACAAAAACATGAAATCGCTTGACCAGTTCGAAGTTAATTTTCATCATCTAATTTTTCATCTTCTAGTTTTTTATCTTCTAAATATCATTTTCCTGTTTGCCGTCTATCGACGGCAAAATAAATTTTTGTTTGGCCGGTGCGTTCATTTACGAAAAATCGGAACCAAACAGCGGAGCCTACAAGAGATGATTGGACCGACTCTATTTTTCTATTAAAAAAGTAAATAAACAATTTTCCCAGCCAGTAAAATATCTGAAATTGTGTTTGGTACGTGCGTAGACCGCCTTCATTGATATATTCTCATACATATATTTACTTTACTGCAAAATAATATGTGGCTGCAGAAATTCCACATATAAATTTTTCTAATTTTTTCATTAAAATTAAATGAACAAAGGCATTTATTGGAAAAATTATAAAGCGATGAAGCAAATATGTATTCGATGTAAATCAAATCAGACCAGAAAGAACATTTACAAAAGCTATCGAATCTTAGAAAAACAACCCAATCTGCATGCATAGGCGTAAACACCGACATTTATAAACACACACAGGCACGCAGACACACACAGATAAACACATACACACAAAGATAAGAGGCACATAAAGCACACTGAGAAGCATCGCAATAGCAACACGTCGTTTCGCATCACAAACGTTTAATGTGATGTCTTAATTAAGGCTTCATACTTATTTATAACTTGCACATGTCTAACTCATTCACTTCTCGTTTGAAAGCACGCCATCTTTCTCTCTGTCTGCTCGGCTAAGACCACCCACATTGAAAAAGTTCTTGTAAAATTTACATAAACACTACACACACATACACACACATCACACACGCACTCTTTCTCACACTCGTATACACACAAATACAAACACACTCACACACACACACTCACATTGGTATACATTTACAATGTTTATTACCTTGAAGATGGAGAAATTTTCCGTACATTCGATTTGTTAGATTATTTTTTCTAACAAATACCTTTGAAGAGGCGGCCATTTTGCTACTAGAAGAATTAGTAACATTAGTATCAATGTTACTTTTTCTAGGAGGCCTAGTAATGAAACTTGTATCATCAAGAGTACTACTATTTTTTGAAATAATCGCTGTAGTAGTAGTAGTAGTAGTAGTAGTAGTAGTAGTAGTAGTAGTAGTAGTAGTAGTAGTAGTAGTAGTAGTATTAGAAGTCAACTGGGTGAGGTACATTTTGTGGTAGTGCACGTTGTTGGGCGGTTGTCCGGTGTTGCTTACAGGAGCCACAATTCCCCAGTATACAAAAGCTAGATGTTGTTGTTGTTTCGGTGGTTGTAGGAGTTGTTGTTTGGAGGGAGGTCGTTGGTCACTTTCTTGCCGCTGATGCTGCTGTTGTGTTGGTCTACGTTGATAACCTTTTTGGATTTGTGTGTAATTAGAATTCCCATGTTGTCGGCCGGCAATACTTTGTCGCCTTCGAATTCGTTTCAATTTTTTTAATAAATCCGATATTGGAACTTGCGATACTGGTCTATAACGAGAACTGAAATGTTGATGATGACCGGAGAACTTCGCGATCCCTCCGTCAAAAATGCCGATGGCATCACCGTCCACAATCGTCTTGACCGCTCTGTTATAAATGTTCTTATTAATGTGAACGCCTTTTGTAAATTTGTTCTGTTCACGCATGGCTGGAGCAGAGGTTGATGAAGAAGATGATGATGAAGACGACGATGATGGTTGGGATGATGTTGCTATTGTTGATATGTTTGATGAGGATCGCGATGATGATGGATGCGACAAGGATGATGATGACGATGAAGTTGTCTGTGGTGATGAAGACGTCACTGAGCTCTTTTGAAATAATTCATCTGACATTCTCTGCAAGTCGAAAGTTTAAATAAATGAAAACTTCATTAATTTTAAAGGAACAATAGCGTCACAGAGATATTTTTTAGAAAGAAAAATAAAATAAAGTAAAAATATAAAAAAGTAAGGTTTAATTTTTATTAGCATTTCAGCGAATTTCTCAAAAATGGAAAAAAGTTATAGACATGCCACGGTCATTAAGAATAGCAAACGGCAAAACCATTTACGAAGAAGAAGAAGAAAAGGAGGAAGCTAAAAATTTTATTACGAATGACATTTTATCGCCTGAACAACAATATTTTATTATAAAAAAAACTGACATAACATTACCTAAACAACAACAGAAGCAACAACAATAAACGACTATACGATTCATTAATTAGCATTTCAACTGCGAGTTACAATAGGGTAGTTTAATGAATACAATTTTTTAAAGTTGACTAAACAGGTAAGTTTTTCTTACAATTAAACATTCCAACATTCTTTTTTTAATAATATTTTGTAAAGTCTTTCCCAGTGTTTGTACCATCATCTGAATTGTCAATAGCCACCAGCAATATAACCGACGTTAACTCTTGCATGATCATCATTCCACTAATGCCATCATGGTTACAATGGCCGCAATTACAATAATTTACTTTTCTTAGAGATATCATCGTCGTCGTCGTCGTAATCATCACATTGCCTACAGATGCAAAATATTAAATTGAAAACAACCACAGCGATTAGAGCCTCGAGACGTCATAGTTTGACATTTTCTTTAGAAGAGACATTTTCTTGTAATAGCTTGATATAAAACTCTATTTAAATGGACACGTTGTGCGCATTAATTAATCAAGTTCGCGATTATTTTTTATTTCTTTCTTTCCCTCTCTCTCTCTCTCCCTCTCTCTCCTTCTCTCCCTCTCTCTCCTTCTCTCTCTCTCTCTCTCTCTCTCTCTCACTTTCTCTCTCTACCAAATTTAGTTTTGAATATCGATTGTGCATGCAGAAAAATTATAAAATGGATTTTCTCTCATACG